TAAGCAATGGTCCCTCTGTTTTTTTTTTTTTTGTGTTTTAGTTTGTTGATCCATTATTTTGTTCTTGCCAGTTTGCTATGCTTTTAGCTAGGTTTCTTTGGGTCCATCGTGACCCAGAGTTACTGTTTCAACTCGGCTTGGCCTCTGGTGTGGGCTGCCGCAGGTGAGGTCTCTTTCGTTCAGGACTGGATTTCCCCAGTTTGGTTCCGTTTTTATGTTAGTTTACCTTCTGGTTGGGAGCCTTGTTCGCATCCCTCACGCTCATAGATCGCTCGGCGGATTGTTTGGCCCTCGAGTGGTGTTCTCTCTGCAGAGACTGGGAGAGGAACGGAAAGGTCGCTGATGGAGACCGGTTTTTTCTTACGCTGCACATATTGGGAGAGAGAGGATGGGTTGCTTTTTTTTTACAAAGTTTTTGCTTTATTGCTTTCGCGGCAGAGATGGGGAGAGAAACGAGGAATTGATGATAGGGACTGAGTTTTTATTGCCTCTTTGCCTTTGGTTTCTGACGTCCTTGGTACACTGTGCGTCCTCAGAGAGAGGCTGGAAGGGGAAGAGACTGTTTTTTCCGTTGTTCTAGGTGATGAGTGCTGCTCAAAAAATACAACGACGGGACTGAAAAGCAGAGATTTTACTCTAGAGAACACGTAGCTATATTTTGGGCCATTCATTTAACCTACTCATTGTGAGGCATTACTCGGCCTCTGTACTTTTTTTCCTTTTCCAGTCTATTTGTTCCAGTCGGCGCATTACCTTTCCTTTCACTCTTACTTTTGTCTATTTCTCCTTCTGAGTTGATTTCTCCCATATCGATTTGTGAATTAAGCGGATCTCGAAGTGATAGTGTGACGGATTCGTGAGTCTGAGAGAGAGGATTCAAAAAATGTCCAGATCCACAGGTTATATACCGATATCTCCATCCGCTCTGTCATTTATGATTTTCTCCTCTTTTCAATGGGTTTGTTCATCATAGTAAGGGTTTATTTGATTGGTTTTCAGATGGGATTTCACACGATCAAGCAATTTGTGGGGAGTTGTTGGGTATGCTCTGCTCCTTTTTTTTAATCTTTTTGCTCTTCTTTTGCCTTACTCTTTGGGTGGTGCACCATAAAAGAATCATGAGGGCATTTACCGTCGAGGTTTGAGAACCACCATAAGCAGTCATGTCAAGCATTGTTGCTAGAAAACAGATGGTTGATCATCTAATTCAATGTTTCTATTTTGCTTTCAAGGGTTGCAATTAGGCCCCTTCCACGATAATCCATTTTTCTTTTCTAAACCTTTGGTGATTGCTGTCCTCTGCAGATTGGTTTGGATACTTCATTGTGTGAGATACTGTTTGTTTTTCCATGCTATTTATACTCAAGAGGTGAGGTGGTAATATCACCGAGGATGGTTTCCCTTTGCATCTTGGTGGGTCAGATGGATTTTTGGTGAGGGTTTCGTTTATTGCAAGCAGTAGTGGCATTGAATATCGAAAGTTCAATTCTATATTGAGGGTGTATTATAATTACAGCTTTACCTTGCAATATGTATCTAATGACAATCAGTATATTAATTAGTTATATATTAGATTACTTTATTGCAATCAGTACACTAAACAAATATATAATGCCAACTTTCATTTCCTCTCAAATCCCGCCGCGGAGCGCGGGCAATGAAAACTAGTATGATATATCTCCCCACTTTTTGTAATATCTCTATATATATCTACTATACGAGTAATATAATAAATTTCGGTGAGAGTTTTATCAATCTTATTATGACTATATTAAATTTGCGAGAGAATTAATAGGTAAATAATACATTTATAGTGAGCTGACGAAAACTTGAACGCGCCAATATTGAGTTGCTCTTAGTACTACTACTAGATTGTTGGATTACAAGTTCTTTGAACATACTACCACTTTGATCGATCAAGGTAAAATTTACACAAAGTTCCAAGGAACAACCGTATGCCTTCAAAAAAAATTACTGTACAATGCACGCATTTTACGCTGCCGGGCTGAACACAGATTGGGCTTTCAGCTTTATGTCATTTGAACCAGTAGAAAATCCTGCGAATGGGCCTTGTGAAATAACATCATTAGGGTAAACACTATTACTATTTAATACAAACAAAATTAATATTAATAAAAAAAAGAGAAATTTTACAATGCTATATAGTATTGGTGCTATTGGTTTTTGCCTTTATGGTACAACTTCAGATTGTACCTATACTTTTTGTACAAATTCTTTTATGGTACAACTTGAACTTGTACCTTTATGTGACGGTACAACTTCAAGTTGTAAAGTGGTACCATAACATAATGGTACAAATTGTTTTATGGTACAACCTAAACTTATACATTTAATGTTATGGTACAACTTTAAGTTGTACATTAAAGCACCAATACTATATAGCGTAGTAGAAGTGCATAAAAAAATGTGGAATTTGTACAAGAACTGAAGAAGAGAAGATTGCATTCGTATCTCAAAATGAGTAAAGATTAGGAAAGTTGTGGGGATTGGATAGATTTTCCATCGGCAACACGTGTGCGTGGGAGATAAAAGGAATGTTTTTTTTATTAAAAAAATTGCTACAGAATCTTAAGGCCCAGTTACCGAAGCTAAAGCCTAAAATGGTCCCCGCCTGAGCTGATCCACCGGGTCAGCTTTCTGGCCCACTTTTCGTATCAATGGGCAATGCTCCACCACCATCAAACGCCCATCTCTTCACCGCTCCACGGCTAAAGCTGCAAACGGGGCGAGCGGCTCGTGAGAGTTTCAACGTTTGACTTGCTGGTTTGTTGAACTAAACTTATGAGATAGATCGTTTAGAGCTCATGAGGAGGAATTTTACAATGTTATATAGCATTGGTGCTATAGGTTTTTTATTTATGGTACAACTTGAAATTGTACCTTTAATGTTATGGTACAACTTCAGATTGTACCTATACTTTTTGTACAAATTCTTTTATGGTACAACTTAAACTTGTACCTTATGTGATGGAACAACTTCAAGTTGTAAAGTTGTACCATAACATAATGCTACAAATTCCTTTATGGTACAACCTAAACTTATACATTTAATTTAATGTTATGGTACAACTTCAAGTTGTACATTAAAGCACCAATACTATATAGTATAGTAGAAGTGCTCGCTCATGAGATGTTTTAACATTGTTGCTATAGAGTAAGCTCGAATACTGAATTGTGGGCGAATTGATCTATACCTTATGAGTTTAATTCATATGATTGTTAAATTATATATCTCATCCTATATAAAGTTTAACACATTGAGTATGTGAGCAAATATATTTTATTTTAAAGAGTAATTATGTATCATAGATTGCTTCGATACTATGAAATAATATGATTTGGACTGCTTAAAATTTATTAACTAAATATGATACCAACAAAGTATAATATGAGATTAGTTAATATTAAACACGAGTCAATCACGTATATCATACATGACATACAAAATAAAGTATCAAATACAAGTCAAGATTATATTATACAACTTTAGCTCGATCTCGAGCTCAGATCGTTTAACAATGAACTGAGCTCAAATTTAGGTAAAACTCGACTCGATTCTGCTCATTTACAGCCCTAACCGCTATAATTTATTTTTCTCTCTTAGGATGGAGGTTTTTGAAGTGTTCAACTTTTTCATCTGATCAAAGAGGTATTTCCGTTGAAATAGATAGCCTATGATGAAGTAAAAGTTAGCTTGTAGTTCAGATAAAATTGTGCAAAACTTGAGTTCAAGTGACATAGTAAAATTTGCAAAATCTCATATTGGGTTAAAACATATTTAATGGGCTTTGGAAAGGGCGCATAATCCTTAACTAAATTTGGATCTTACTTTTTTTTAGTGGATACAGAAAATTCATATTTAAGGGTTGGGAATTAAATGCATTTTATTTTCTCTTATTTTTTAATTGGCTCTTATCTTATTCGTTCTAACTTGGATTTCAAATTTTTTGCATAGATGGAACGAGTTCGTTGTGCTCTACAAAATTAGATCCATTTTCAATATTTTATAGAAAAAAATCTCATAACTCATGTTACCAACTCCATATCATATGGTATCTCCTTGATATGGGGGTGGTATCTTGTGGTACACAATGTTGGATCTCATAACTCATTTTTTAAAAATTTTGCACAGAAGGAACAAAGTTCATCATGATCTATTGGATCTATAAATTTATGGATAAGCAAAATACAGGACTAAAAAATACCCACTATACCACCTTGACATGGGGGGTGGTATCTTGTGGTACGCAATTTTGAAAGTCGTAAATGACAGTTAGTATACTCCTACTATCTTGTATTCAATCATTCTACAGTCTTGGTATGTTCATACCATCATGGTACGCTTTCATACCATATGTATGTTCTTATTTTAATACCAATAAATACCACCATGGTATACACTGGTAAAAAATGCCTCAAGGGTTATGCACTTATGCATAAACAATTTATCCTATTGTAAAGGAAACCACTCCTTACCACATTAGTATAGGATGATAATTAGTGGTAGACAGTGATTAAAGGTGGTAAAGGGTCATTACTATATTTTTATTATCATATATACAATCACTCTACTTTATGATATATATACTATCATGATACACTTTCATTCCACCATGCTATAATCTCTATTACTAATAAGCATTATCGTCATGATATAGACCGGTAGTATATGTCTCAAATTTTTTTTTTCAAATATATCAAAATGGATATAATTTTGAGAATCACGATTAATATAATTTTTCAGTACAAAATAATCGAATTACAACTTAAAACGAAAGAGATATAACTAGTTAAATTAATTTTTAAAAATATTAATTTCCCATGAACTAGTAATGACTATACAAAATTGAGTTATTAACGAGATCTACTCTCCAAAGTCATCACCCAAATCTCCCTAAATAAGTAGTTGCTCGAAACTTTACCTTTATTTAATTTCTATAAATTTATAAATACTTCCATTCGGTCTTTGGAAACTTACCTTATGTTGTTAGGCTTTGACACGTTTGGAAACAAAATCGAAACATATAAGATTGCCTACAGCTAGAAGGTAAATGACAACAAGTCACAACATTGCCCGGAACTGAAACCAAAGTGCAATGAGCTAGGCTGCTGCATTCATTAGTCCTTGAGATTTCTCTTTAGGGTTCGATTTTGTTGCAGAGATTTGTCTAATCGAAGATGTTTGGCTTCTCCAAGAAAAGTATGAAGCTTGGCAGGTCAGTCAGTCTTGCCAGTTCTGCTTTTTACCCTCTTCCGCCCTTTTTCTGCCATTTTGAGTTCATAGTTTCTCACTTCAGTATGTTTGCTGCTTTGCAGGGTGAAGAAGGTACATTTATCAGATTCTATCTCTACACCAGGAGCTAGAAGCCCCATTAGACCCCCAAAAAGAGCTCACAATTCCTCTGTTGTAAGTCTCCGTTACCCTCATTCCCCCTTGCCTTTTGCTTTTTGGTGGGTTTCCTCTTGTATGATTTTTTGTTTCTCTTGTTTATAGCATTGTGATGATCAGCTTGACTGTGAATGCCAAAAGTCAGCTCACCCAGCTGCTGATATTGCCAGCTCAACTTCAGGGAATTCCAACAATTGGATGGTTCTGTCTATTGCTGGAGACAAACCAGCTCCTAGGTTCAATGTGAGATGATGCTATTTGCCTTTTTAAGTTGCTGTAATTTTCAGGACAAAAAAGTTGAAGAGAAAATGAAGCTTTACCCTTTTGGTGGAATTAGCATGCAGCAACTGTAATTGGCAACAAGATGGTAGTGGTTGGTGGTGAATCCGGAAGTGGTTTGTTGGATGATGTCCAGGTAGCTAGCTACCTTTTCCCCCTCTGTTGTGAAAAGGGTTTTCTCTAGGTTCCTTTTTACTTTGAGCGAAGGGCTGTACTAATCATTCTTTTTGTTTATCTCTTTCTCTTTTGGTTATCATCAGGTGCTAAAATTTGACCAGTTTACATGGACCACCATTCCATCCAAGCTTTACCTTTCACCAAGCAGCCTGCCACTGAAGATTCCTGCATGCAAAGGCCACTGTTTGGTAACTGTGTGAGAGAGTGAGAGGTTCAAGTTTTCTTGTGAAGTGAGTTGCTTGTGGGCTGAAAGAGTTGTTTTGCTGTAGGTTTCTTGGGGGGAAAAGGTACTTCTAATTGGAGGAAAAACTGATCCTCCAAGTGAGAGAATTTCAGGTTGAATCTTCATTGCTTTCTCATTTGGTCATGTGTTGTTCTTGGTCTTCAAGCTGTGTTGGTTGATTCCATCGTTTTGGGTTGGTCCAGTGTGGGCATTTGATACAGAAAGAGAATGTTGGTCAGTAATGGAACCCAGAGGCGACATACCGGTACGGTTTTCACTTGGGATTCTACTATGATTCAACCCATTGAGTTCTGAGACAAGTGAAATAAGCGGTTTGAATTCCTGTTACAGATTGCTCGCAGTGGTCACACTGTGGTCAGGTCGGGCTCCACACTAATCCTATTCGGTGGTGAAGATGCCAAGAAAAGAAAACTGAATGATCTACACATGTTTGATCTCAAGTCTCTTCTATGGGTTCCCTTTTGCTCCACGTAAGTTTTTGTTTCTTTCATGTTGGACTTATTTTCTTTCTGCCTTATGGATGATTTTCAAGTTTGGAAAAATTGCTTCTAATGCTTTGCTTGCAGCGGAGCTAGACCTTCCGCTAGATCGAACCATGTAGCTGCTCTTTGTGATCGTAAAACCCTTCTCATCTTCGGAGGGGCATCAAAGTCGCGGACCTTGAACGATTTGTATTCTCTCGACTTCGAATCGGTGAGAGCCAAATGCACTCAATTTTACAGTTTTGAAGTATGGTTTCCTGACTTAGCGAATTTGATATGTGAATGTTCCCTTTTTCTTGTTTTTTGGTGTTCAGATGGTGTGGTCGATGATAAATATTAGGGGTTTCCATCCATCGCCTAGAGCTGGTTGCTGTGGAGTTCTATGTGGAACCAAGTGGTACATAGCCGGTGGAGGGAGCGGAAAAAAAAAGTAAGCATTCTAAATCTAGAGCCACAAGTTTTTTGAGCTACAATCAGTAGCTTCTGGCAATCAAGGAGTCATAATGTAATTTATGTTCTCTGTATCTGCAGGACACTCAGAGACCTTGATTTTTGATGTTTTGAAAGTAGAGTGGTCTGTTGCCTTTGCATCGCCATCTTCTTCTATCACAACCAAGAAGGCAAGAAGTCAAGTTTTCGTTAACTTACAATATCTCATATGTGCTAATTCGAAGCCTTTGCATCACCATCTTCTTCTTATATGCTAATTCGACTCTACTGGCAGCACATTTTGGACGAAATCTTAAGATAGGACAGTGAACAATTATGTGGTATAATACATGGAACAAATACTGTCACTAACACAATTATGCTGTGATCGTTAAACTTCCTCTTTTCTCTCCCCACAGGGATTCAGCCTAGTGCTTGTGCAACATAAAGAGAAGGATTTCCTAGTTGCATTTGGAGGATCCAGAAAGGAGCCTTCAAATCAGGTCAAATGACTGAACTGACTATTTCCGGTTGTCACTCAGTTATACCGTAGTGTTCATCTCAAGAGTCTATAACAATGATGTCGTCTGGATTAATTTGCTATTTTACAGGTTGAAGTAATGGAATTAGACAAGCATGAATCGACGATGTCTCGGAGGTCTGGTAAGGGTCCTCTTGGGGTCTCTCAGCGTTCAGCTGATTCCGTTGTTAGACAGAACTTGGCATCTGCAGCCGAGCATGTTTCTGGTAGAAATTCTGTGTCAGAGTCCTCGATCATGGATTCAGGTTGTGCCTCTGGAAATGCCTCCCACAGAAAGCAATTTCATGAGGAAGAACACAACAGAGCTGTCAAGATGGTTAAGAGATCAGAGGCAGGAAATGTGTCGTCTCCAGTAAGTAATCTGTTTTGTTCTACTTCCTTCAGTAGCTTACCTGTTCGGTCAAGTTAACTGGGAAGCCTGTTAAAAGAGTTGAATAGTGAAACTTTGACAGAACTGTTAAGTGAAATGGTTAATTGGAAACCTGTAAGTAACTGGGTAGCCACCTCCTCACATGCTCTAAGCCTACACTAGCACCTTATGTCATTGTTTTCATACCATGATTTAGAATGGAGAGAAATTTCGATTTTTCAGGGGAATGAGCAGCAAATGAATCAATCCAACACGCCCATTCAAACTTATTATAACCAGTTGGGCAAAATCATCAGTGAGGATAAATCTTGTGTCTATGGTAGTTCATCAGACCTTATAGTTGACAACGAGCGAGTGGTAATTCCAGAGACTGCTGATTTCCCCTCCGGAGGGCCACACTCTAGTGTCTATTAGCTATATGAAACCAAAATAGCAGCTCTGATAAAGAAGAATGGGGTGCTAGAAGGACAACTCGCGGCAGCATTGGCTTGCCGAGAGGTGGCCGAGAAGAGTTTCTCTGCTGTCGTGAAGAGCAAGCAAGATGTAGAGAAGAAGTTGGTCGATGCTTCAAGGGAAGTGGAGTTGTTGAAGGAGAAGATGGCTGGTTTGGAGATGGCCCATGAAGAGGCCAACAGCATGTCGAACATCATCCATTCGGACAACTTGAGGCTCGAGCATGACGTGGCTTTCATCAAGGCCACTTTCGAGGATACCCAGAAGGTAAAATGTGCTGCTGCCTGGCCAAACTGTGTAATCGATCGATGAGTTTAGAGAACTAACTTTGTTTGGTTTTCAGGAGCTGCATTCGACTAGGGGAGTGCTAGCCGCGGAAAAGGCAAGAGCGTTTCAGCTTCAGGTGATTTCTGTTTTACTCAAACCTAATATTTAATCAGTCCTTGTGTGCCAAGTAAGATACTCGTGACATGAGGGATTTCTAATGATCAGGTTGAGGTGTTTCATCTCAAGCAAAGATTGCAGTCTTTGGAGAACCGAGCTCCGAATCCTAGGAAACCATGCCATGTGTAGAAGGCCCAAAGGATATGGTAGACAGTAGAATTTTGCAGCAGGCCAGTAACTTCTGGTATCGTGATTCTGTATATAGGGGTACTACAACCCTAAATCACGCTTCTGTTTCTATATCCAATTATACTTGAAATTAGGTTAGAATGGCAACCAAACATGCAACTAATGCAGAAGTCAAGATCTTTCATTCCAGTGCTTGGTTTTATCCAGTTCGACACAACAGAAACGTTGCACCTTGATTGGTATGAACGAAGATCAGTTCTCAAATCGTGAGCACCTCTGAACACTATTACAGCTACTTCTGGTCTCTTAAAGAGATAAAAGTATATTCCCCTGGAAACTTATAATGGATTCTCATTTTAGGGAAACAAAATAACAAATTGTGCTTTTCAAACTACAGAGAGCATACATATCTAACCACCACCAAAAGGAGTTGCAGCTTCAAACCAGCACAACCTGTGATATGCAATATGCAGCATAAACTACTTGCATACCTTCATAATGTAGGCTGGTATTTGTCACTCACCAATTCGGGTGTATAATGTCAAAATTATGCAAGCTTTATAATCAATCTTGAGTTCATTCATTAAACAAACGATTGAGATCTAAATTACCATTTTAATACAATACTTTTTAATTGGATGTTGTGTATTATTTGTTTTATCTTGGATTTCAAAAGTTTAATTAATTTATCTACAAAATAATATAAATTTTATATATTTCTTTTTTTCCCCGTTGATTGTTGGTCTCAAAGTTCGAACTCAGGGTGTGGTGGATATTTTCATCCTGACATTACCATTAGGCCAATCCATTGAGGTTATTATTTATACATTTCGAGTAAATGTTTTTTGTAATGATGTATATTATACACCTTGGTATGTATATTTTGTATCGGTATAATACATTTTTCATACCACCTTTATAAGCATGTATTTCGTTCCAAAATATATCAAAATTGATGTCATTTTATAGAGAATAATAAATTTAATTTTTATATGGATACAAATTTTAGAAACCTCCATGAATACTTATTCAAAGTAATATTTTTAATTGTTCACTAATGCTATACCAATTCCTTTCTTTTTCCTTTTTATCTATTGACATAATTTCTTTCTTTTTCCTAGGTGTGTGAAAAATGATAACATTGAATTAGTTTCATATGCATAACCCTAAGATTATGCAGGCTCTATAACCAACCCAAGCTCATAGATCGCTTTAACGATAGATATTTTTTTTTTTGATAATGATGATTGAAATAAAGGAAAAAGAAACAAAATCGAAACAAGAGTCAAAGGAAGAGGGGTTCACAAGCAACTGAACCCAACTTCCCAGAAAAGCAAAAGAGTATAGCAATTAACGATAGATATTGAAAACATCTTTTTCAATCTCATACTTTTGAGTTATGAATTTTTGTGATAAAATATATCATGTTATATTTAGTACCATCATGATATTATTTTATACTAAAATATATGAAAGTGGATGTCATTTTGTCAAATATAATTAATTTGAAATTCAAGTTAAAATGGATGAGATTTAGTCAATTTGATGAGAAAATGGTTCTTCAAACCCAAAGGCATTACTATGTAGTAAAATGTTCCCCACGGTGTAATGAATGTTGTCTTTCCCATGTCCTCTGGACACATCTTGATCCGGTTGTACCCGGAGAAACCGTCGATGAACAAAAATAATGCATGATTGACCGTGTTATCGATTAAGACATCAATGTGTGCTAGCGTAAAGTCGTTTTATTTGGGCTTGCACGGTTGAAATCCATGTAGTCTACACAAACTCGTATTTACCCAAAACAAATGTGGTATCGAGAGATAGTCTCCAATGTTCTCCAATGTGTGCTTGTGGAGCCCTACTCCAATAAATTACAGATACAGGATGTGCCTTGAAAGGAAACACATCATTCGCGCCAAGATCAAGTGACTAAGGGAATCTTAGCCCTTCAAACTCATTAAAATCTAATGGCTTAGATTAATCCAATTTAATGAAAGACAATGTAATAATTGTATGATTTTATTAATTTTCAATTATTAATTAATTAAAAAAAGCAATTCCCCGCCTCGTAAAACCTTCCGCCGTTGCTGGGAATAATCCCCGCCGCCGGTGCTGGGAATTATTATTGCTCCGCCAGCCATTTTGCTGGGGAACTTTCCCCCAATCCCCCCAAGTGCAGCGAACGAGATTTGCCGCCAAAAAAGCTTTCTCCGCCGGCCAAGATTTGTCGGCCAAAAAAAGTCCCTGGCCACAATTTTTTGAGTCCCAGACCACCATTTTTGGTGAGAGAGAGAGAGAGAGAGAGAGAGAGAGAGAGAGAGAGAGAGAGAGAGAGAGAGAGAGAGAGAGAGAGAGAGAGAGAGAGAGAGAGTTTTCCGGCGATCGGAGGAAATTTCCCGACGACAGTGTTGGATTTGTGATGTTGGCAGACCTATTTTGTAATGTTTATAGATTCGGTTTGTATTATTTGTCATTTTTAGTGACATTTTGTACGGTTTGTCGGTTTATTTTGTAACGTTTGTACGCTTTGTTATTTTGTAATGTTTGTCGGGTTGTTTTGTAATGTTTGTAAACTTTGTTATTTTTGTGCACCATGTTTATCATTTTTGTCAACCATGTTTGTAATGTTTTTATGTCTAAAAAAAACCCGGTTGACTTTTGGATAGAACCCCTCTATATAGGGATGGAGCCTCCAAAGTCAACCCGGGTGTTTTTTCTAGTTCGTATGGATTGTCGGTCTAGTTTGTCATTTTTGTCCACCATGTTCGTAATGTTTGTATGTCTAAAAAATAATCGGGTTGACTTTGAGACGAAGCCCTCTATATAGGGATAAAGCCTCCAAAGTCAACCCGGATGTTTTTCCAGTTTGTATGAATTTTTGGTCTAGTTTGTCATTTTTGTCCACCATGTTTGTATGTCTAAAAAACACCGGGTTGACTTTGGGAAGGAGCCCCTCTATATAGGGATGGAGCCTCCAAAGTCAACCTCGTTGTTTTTTTCTTTTTGTATGATTTGTATTGTTTGTCGGTCTAGTTTGTATTTTTTGTACAGTTCATATGTTTGTAATGTTTGTAAATCTGTTTGTATGTTTTGTCGCTCTAGTTTGTATTGTTCATATGTTTGTATGGTTTGTACTGATTGTAAGTCCGATTTGTATACTTCGTAATTTTCCATAATACCCAAACTACCCCTGTCATTAATTAAATAGGCATTCCCACTTTTTAACCATCATATTGCTATATCCAGATCCTCTCTCCACATCATTCTAAACATATCTCATATTCCTCGAGAGGAACATAGAACAAATTGAAGAACATCATGCTCAGGTACCAATCTACGTGCTTAATAGGGAGATTATGGTTCTTGTACACGTGCAGTAATGCTTATTTAGCCTTCTCGATGAAGGTTTATGTGCTTCCCTTCAACCTCAACTTCCTCCTTGCTAGGGTCTTTCGGTGTCGGTGAGTACATGAGAAGGAGAGGTCCTATTGGAATTTCCAGAGCTACGTTGGTTTGATCCATCTATGGTCACACACGAGATTCGCAATTAATTGTGTGCGACGCATAAGATGGAGATGCATGATAATCATGATGCATGCAGTTATGTTTTAATTTACGAAAATCTTTTGGAGAGATACTAACTTCACCAACGACCACATCAAGCAACACAATAATAATAATAATAATAATAATAATAATAAATTGGAAGACGAAAAATCATACTCCTTTTGATTGTTTTTTCTTCCTCCCTCCCCAATCTCTATCCTCCCCCCCCCCCCCCCCCACCCCCACCCATCCCTATCCCCATTCACCCTCCCTATCGCCTTCTCTCCCTCTCTCCCCTTCTCGATACTCATTCTTGCCCCCCCCCCTCCCTCTCACACACACAACAAGCCAACCCTCTATTTTCTTTCCCTCCCCTTTCCTCACCCGACTGTTCTCTATTTTTAGACAAGGAGTAGGGATTTGCGAACGATGGCGGTGAAGTATTGTCGAACGCACTCAGATAGGAGTTTGACAACCATAATACCATTAAACCCTATTTGTTCCAAATTCTGATTGGAAGAATTTGCATCTCCCCTCAATCTCTCATTCTCCCCTACCCTCCCTATTCCCCTCCCACCCTGTCACCTTATCTCCCTTTACCCATTCTTGCACCCCTCTCTTTCCGCTATCCCCAACTTTCCACTTCCATTCCACTCTCTCTCCCATCACGGATCTCATCCTTCCACCCCCTCTTCTCTCTCTCTCTCTCTCTCTCTCTCTCTCTCTCTCTCTCTCTCACACACACACACACACAACAAGTCAGTCCTCTCTTTTCCTCCCTTCCCCTTCCCTCACCCGACTGTTCTCTATCTCTTACAGGCGGCAAATGTTAGGGAACGACGACGGCGGGCTATACAGCTAGGGGATTGCAGACGACAACATTTTCCAAAGGTGCCAAAAACTAGTAAATCCGGTCCAGCTGCTTTTTCCCCCCAGCTTTGACTGATTCTTCCTAATTTTGACCAAATACTGGTTATTTGAAAAGGGGCTTTCTGAGGACCGTTTTGAGTCTGGTCTTGGCGAACGCAGTCAGACTGACCGGTTTGGAAAGGAGTTTGACAACCATAATATCAAGGGCTAATACCACTATAACACTCGAACTATCCGGAAAATGTCACTTGTGTCCTATTGTTTCCAATATTCCATTCATGTTCTGAACTATTTTTCTGTTAAAGTTGATTCGTTTTGACCGTTAATTTTCAACATAAAGTCCAGTCAGCATTGATGTGGCACATGATGTGGAATTTTAATTTATTTAATAAAAAATTAAAATAAAAAACAAGAAAAATAAAAACAAAAACGTTTCATCTCCACCATTCACCCCCTCAATCCTTTCTTCCTGGTTCACCCTTCCTGTTCACCACCATTCACAATGATCCACCGGCGCCATGGTTGCAGAAACAGAACCGGAGAGCTTGACGTCGTTCTTCCTCCGTCGCAGAGTGCACGACCCAGATCTGCCGGATTGGCGAACATACGGGCTCTCTACACTGCCGCAAGAGAGGAGAACGACGTCAAGCTCGCCGGTTATTTGTGCATCAATCGATCAGTTTCTCTTTTTCTCTATGTGCCCCAGAAATTCGAGGGGATTCCTCTTGATTCTTTTCATTATCAATCTTCGTTCTCGATGGTGGCCTTGTAGGCGATCTGCTGAGAATAATGGGAAGCAAATTGACTTCAGATTTGGAGGCGGCGGGCAAAGAACAGAGTCCATCTAACGAAGAAATCGGAGATTGTCACTGGAGCACAACTGCGACATAGTCAGATCTGCCATTGAAGTGGAGCTGGGGCCTAGGAGACCCTGAATCTCGCCATTGATGAGAACTGGGAAATCAGAATCGTCTTCATTGCCGGGTCGGATTGGGGGAAGAAGGAGATGATGTGGCAGCTTCATTGCTTGGAAAATGGAAATGGAAATCGTCTTCATTGCTGGGTCGGATTGGAGGAAGAAGGAGATGATGCGGTGACTTCATTGCTTGGAAATCGGAATCGTCTTGGAGATTTTTTAGAGAAAGAGAGGGCGAATCAGTAGGGAAGAAGAATAATGGGATTTTTAATTATTTTGTTTTAAAATTTTGACTTAATAATATAATTGAATTTAAATTTTTTTTAATTTTAACTCAATTTTTATTTAATTTGAATTTAAAAATATGAGATCAGTGACGTGGCATCTATGTGGCAGCCACCTTTTTTGCCACATCAACAAAAGTCAACTTTGACCACCGTTTGGTCAACCGTTATCTTTAACGGTTAACGAAATTGACAGGATACAAATGACATAAAGTATCATAGTTTAGGACATTAATGGAATATTGGAAACAATAGGACACAAGTGGCATTTTCCGAATAGTTCGGGTGTTATAGTGGTATTAGCCCTAATATCAATAAACCCATTTGTTCCAAATTGTGTTGGGAAGGATTTTCATCTTACCGAAGGAAGGATTTCCGTTCTAGACCATTCAAAATTGTATACCCTCCCCTGCCGCCCTCTCTCACACACTCACTCTCCCCTCCTTATTATCTCCCCGCCCCAACCCCATCGCCCTCTCTCTCCCTTGCCCCTCCCCGATCCCATTCTTGAAACCGGGTTCCTTGGTCTTCATTCCTCCTTGAAGTCCCAAGGAAACATCATTTAGTGGATTATTGGATGATTGATACCTCCACACTTGATTGAAGTCATAGGGATCCATGTTTCAACTACTACGAACACAAAAACAAAATCAAACAAACACAAACCACTTTTCGTGGAGAAGGGTGGGTAATCAAAATCAATTGAAACACAAAACCAAAAGAAAACACACACAAACCGCTAAAGTTAAACAAAAGAAAGATACTAAAGTGTCATACTACTACGAAATACTACTATTGCGAATATAAACAAATAAGTAAGAATAAACTAACAACCTAACTCCTTCAACTAGTTATCGTGGTCCCGGCAACAACACCAAAAACTTGATGTAGTCGCTGCATCGAGCTTGTAAACTCGACTATCGATAATACTAACCACCCAATCTCGGACAAGTTCACCCTAGATCGACGAAGTATATAGTGGTGACCGAGGTCGTATTTTAAAGGTCACGAAATCCTAGGCTACTTAGGCTTGGTTCTAATCTAGTCGACATGTTACTTAGCAGGTGGGCAGTTGGCAATTAATGGACTAGAGAACGATAAGAGGGAAGAGGTACTTGGGCTGTCTCCCTCACCCTAACTGCTACAGATAACATGCAAAGGACATAATGATTATCCATGGTGATTGAGGTGAGGAGATTTCTAATCTAGAGATTGGCTCAATGGGCATGCAACCAATCTCATTCCTACATTGATCCACTAGCCCAATGTCACCTCAGCATCACATTGTAGGGATAAAACATATCTCCTCTAAATGGGTTCTATACATCCACACATTAGTCCATCGAGACATGGTCACTCACTCGACATACTAAACTCCTAGATCATTCATCTATTCCTAACATGCCAAGGCGCTCAAATCCACTCTAATTCATGCACTCCTAAGTAGTACGCCACTGTGAAATGAATTGGAACCCAAGCATAATTCATCATAGGTGAAGCATAAAAACTCTAGGAAAATTCAATTCATCCATAAATCACAAGAAAGAGAATAAATAATCACCTACCACCTAGGTTGCAACTAGGCAAATGGGATACAAACAATCTCATTCTACTTGATATAAAGAAAGACAATCTTCAAATATATATAGGTAATTAATTAGGTTCATAATCATTCACAAATCTAGCCTCCAACATCCTATTACATATCAAACCCTAGATTAGCGTTTAGGGGGCTAAGCCCCAAAGTACCTTGAGGGATTACCTCATGAAGTGGGGAAGAAAAGACATGAAAAGATGAGAAAAATCATGAAGAAGGGTCTTCAAGTGTCGGAAATCCTCCTCCAAACCTCTTCTCCATTTCTTTTCCTCCTCTTCTTCTCCAAACTTCTACTTCTCTCTCTAACCTCACTCTAGAACAAGAAATCTACAAATAGAAACTCTGCTCAAGGAGAAGAGACCCCTATTATAGAGGTTTGGGGACGCGGGCAAGTTCATGGCTGAAGGATCTATGTTCGCGACCATGATCTTGGGGGGGTTCATGCAGCGACTTTACTCCTTGCTGTCAGTTTAGTAAAATATTGTAAGCGATATCAGGATGTCATGTGAATTTGTGATCAAATTACAGCTTGCCGTCGCGTGTTTATCCATCTCCTCCAATGGCAATCACTTGGCTGCATTGCACAAGGTGGAACTTTACTCTCTCCCCTGTTTCCCCTGTATTTGTAGCTTTCCCTTCTTTAGCACGGTTGCTTCTTGTGGTAATTAGCTTGATCAATCAGCAGTATATGCTAATGGTGGCGGAGTAGAAATACACAATCATCAACGGAATAACTGAATAAGCCTTCTCATTGCAAATATGGGAACATTTTGTAACCTCAATACACGATTTACAAACACAGATAACTCACACACTCACTCCTCAGTACAGTTTCTCAATTATTCAATCCTAAGCATACGTTATACGATAACACAGTTTTGGCTTCAATCTGTCTGGTCAGAGGAAAGCATCAGTATCCCATGGAGGCAGAGGAACAGTACGAGGCTGCCATGGCGAAGAAGAAGACGAGCAGCAAAGACGTTGACGCCTTGATTGAGCTCCCATCTGAGCTGTCATCACTTCCTGGCACACCTCCTGGTCAGCCGAGAGAATACCGGGAAAAGATCAAAAGAACATTCTTTTTTGCAGAGAAAATTGGGGGGGAAAGAAAACAAAAGTATCGCTGCCTACCTGGAGAAATAGGAGCCTCTGCTACTGGGCTTCCCTCTGGGGAAGCACTTGGAGAAGTAGCTGCAGGTAGAATGTCACCGTTCAAAGTTAGCAACCCAAATCTTTTCCGGGGAGTGAGTCAAAATGGCTCGTGATTTAAAACTTAAAAACTTTATGTTTTTACTTTTTTAGATCATCAGAAAACAGATAGAATTGCACTTTTCAGCTACAATTGCAGTAAAAAAAAATCTACGCTTTAAAGTTTAAAACGACGCGCGCTTTCTGATCACTCTTATGTATCTACGTAGAATCATGATTTTGACGGCATTTGAAGCTCGGTTTCTCACCATTGCAGCGGCTCACGGGTGGAGTCTGGACATTACAAGCAGCAGGCAACCCCAGAGCTCGCGTCCGGTTGAAGCCAGGGAGGCCAACTGAAGCTCCACCGCTGTTGAGAACCTGGCACAAGCATACGGGCAACAAGCGAACAGCTTTTTCCAGCTGGATGCAGCAGGTCGTTGCGGGAGCGGAGGAGCCGCCGGTGATGTAGCCGAGGCAGGGGATCAGGCCGGTGAGCGCGTCCGAGCAGTCCGGCGACTGGGCCGTGGATCCACCGGCCCATAGAAGAAGCTGCATGGTGAGCAACATTATGGCTATGCTCAGTGCTGTGGTTCTTGTTGCAGCAGCCATTGTTAGTTTTCAGAAAGTGTTGTGTTGTTTTTTGGTGGAGTGGTGAGAAAGTGGATCATAGGGAAATGTTTGGGTTGGGACTTTGGAGTATATATATCAGTACTGGTACGACGAGAGCCATTTCCATTTGGCTGCTGTGATTTTTGCTTTCTGGATCGCCGAGAAGTCGTTTCTTTGCTCTTTAGGTTTGTTCTGTTTCAGAAGCACGCAGGGTGACGCGCTTACGCGTCTCTGATTACTACACTAGTCTTTCCGACTTTCTGTTCAGTTACTCTTGGGGATTACTAGTAAGGAAAATTCTTTGCTTGTGGGTTTGCTGTTCTGATGCTGGCAACAAATTCCATTTGTCCTTATTTTCAATTTAGGGGGGGAAACAGCTTTCAACTTATTTTCAATATTAAAACAATACTTGTGACTGTTGCCACTCTTTACACATCAATGACATGCTAGATTACATTATACAAATACAGAACAAAAGATTACAGATTGGATCAGAAGAGCCCGGACGGAAGTGTGATCTTGGTTAGAACACGAACAGGAAATCTAGTTGTGACACTGGCGTCCCTGGCGTGGTGTTTCGTCTAATATCTTCTTTTTCGGCATGGGTGGAACTTGGAAGGGCTATTCTTCTTCTGGTTCTTCCTCTTCCTGAAGGAGATTCTCCCTGTTATCGTGAGCCCAGAAACCTCGTACGTCGATGAGCATGCTGGCCACGGTTCCACCTTGTTTACAGGCGAGCAGATCGGTCAGGGTGATCCTCAATTCATCGGCTGGCTTTACCATGTCCCAGATCTCGTCTCTCACATCCTCGATACACAGCTCGTAGTTCCCGCCCTCTGTCCATTTGTGGTGCACGTCTCTGTTTCATAATCAGCCAGATTCACCACGAATGTATGCAAATTGAAATTTAAACAATGAACTTAGGAAACCTGACTTATGACATGAGACTGCAGAGTTTCTGCTCATGCACAAGCAAAAGCCTGCAACATGACAAGCAGGGAATAAAAAGCTCCTTTTTAACCCAAGAATTGTGGATTTATGTCTCTGGATATATGAGACTTGCAGAGCTTGCTCAAGCACTACAAGCAGGAAACAACAGATTTACTCTAGGAAGACTGTATCAGGTGGCAGCCTAACTCAATGATGCTCCCCTTCTTTGCTTCCATACAAAAATTAGCAGTTCCGGGGCAGATATTTATAAATGATTGAAAGCATTCACCTGAAAAGGGAGTGAATATCAGCCGTTGTAAGAAATCCCCTTCCCTGAAGATCAAGACAGCGGAACATATAGGTCAACCCTTCAGGAGTGTCTTTGTTCTCCAGCGCCAGAACAAAGTCAAGGAAACTTTCGAAATCCATCTCGCGTGCATTTCCTGCTCCACTCTTGCCACGGCGGACATGTTCATCAAATACTACAAAGAAGAAAGATACAGATTGAGAATCAAGCTAACGAAAAAGTGAAAAAGACACTGACTTCCTTCAAAGATGTATTACACAAAAGTTCTTGGTAAGGACTAAGGAGGGAACCCTGGGGAGACAATCTGAAGTGTCCAAGTTCAACAACCATCATAGACTATATTACTATACCATAGGATTGGATCATGTAATCATACAAAGAGTTGAGATTAACATGAGGCAAACCTGATGAGACGAGAGGATCCATAACATTTAGATATACCTCTTTCAATGAAGATTTCTGTCAATGTCCCATCCGCATATTCTCGAAGCTCTTGCTTGCTCAATGTTCCATTTCTATCTTTATCGAGGTCCAGGAACATATCTACAAGACAGTTGGAATCTACTTGGATACCACAGTCCATAGATAAATCAAAATGGTTCTCAAGCCATAAGAAACTTTCTTAATCCATATTACAGATTATTATAAGTTCATAGCTTTTTTACTAGGTTCTTTAGCCTGTGTCTGCTTCAAAAGGATGATAAACAACAAACAATGACATTACGAGGGTGGGGCCAAGATGGAACAATACTATCACAGCTCATGTATCAAATATAAACTTTGCATATATCATGAGCACGTTCCTTGAAGAAATCATATTTACCACATATGCGCTGTGCAGATGTCAGAGAGAACCAGTTTTCAGCTTGCTCAGTGTCAGTAACTTCCTCTTCCGTTTCCTGAAGTAGATCAAGAACGGTAAGAAAACAACATGAAATTTTTTATGACCAACTGTTATATTGAAAGTCAGACTAGGTATCAAAACTTAATTTGAATAAATTCAGTCTAATTTTGCATGACAGTAAGAAGAAAAATAAACAATCAGCAACTGATGTTTTCTTTCAAGGATGTACAAGGCAATGTGCTTTACACATTTTCACTGCATGTTAGGTCAGGAATCATTTACCTGGTGCAATTCCATTAGCTCCTGCAGGCAGTTGCTGAGTAGCACTTTCTTAATGCAAGCTTTCCCTGTGACACAACCAACCATAAACTGTAGTTAATAATAAACACAAAATACAAATATGTTCAAAACATTGTGAGCCTGAAATAATAATAAAATGGTGATATCAAACAAAACTACGAATTTCGTGGTTTGAACTACTACTTCTAAACTTACCTCGCCTGTGAGGATCACAAAAGAAGAAGAATTTATGTGCAGCTATGCGACAGTACATTTGAACAAAGACTCCAGGCATATCCCGCAATTGTGCTAAATTAGGTATGAGACCTCTGATATAAGCTTCCATTTCCTACAAATAAATCAGATAAATGTTTAAACCTCTTAACATAAAAGCTCATTTCACTATAGCGATAGCCTAGCATAAGGAACAGCAAAGATCAGATTGAGACAGCTAAAACTGTAAAAAATATAATGTATGCATACATGGGGTTGAAGGAAGCCGTCTGAATCTTCATCAAGCTCACTCATGTCTATTCTAGCTTGTGTGAGTGAAACCTAATCAAAACACTCAATATAAGTTCATCAGGAATTATAAGTGAAGTTTCTTGCAGTTACACTAAACAGAACATAGAAAATCTTGGCACCAGAAGAGCCATACTAACCGTGCGCATCACGTATAGATAGAAGGGAAGAATAGCAATTCTTCCCGATTCGTCTTTCTCGAATTTCATAAAGTTAGATGGACTGAAAAACCTTCTACATTTGGGACCTATTTGCTCCGTGCATACAGAAGCAATATGACAAAAATCTTCATAATTCATCTGACAGATGATAAGAACAGGGGTCAGGTAAAGTGTTAGATGCATCCAAAAGCTGAGGCCAGTAGTTTACCCTAAACGAAGAACAACTCAGTCATAGTGTGAAGTATAGATTTAAAGGCCAATGCCTGCTAACCTTCTCTGCACCAGTAGCATCATCAATCACACAATTTTCTCTCAAGCAAACCCACATGGCATCCAAATCATCAGCATTTAGTAAGAGATCCGATTGCTTCTGCAAAAAGTGGAAGGAATGATGTCATACTGGAAGCTCATATCATGTTCTACATGGTCAAAAGTTAAGAAAACTAAAGATTACACTGCACAACAGAAGCACATTTCATACCTTTAGAAACCGATACTTAGCCAGTCTTTGCACCCTGTGACTGATTGATCCTTCTTCCGGTTTCTAAGAACCAACATTGCCAAACATCAAAGGAAAACTGAAAATCAGTACACCAGTCAATCAAAATACCGGCCAGAATTGCAAGCCAAGTTCAAATACCATTCCACTAATCAACCCCAATGCCAATTGAACCGCATACCTTCTTATAAAAACTAGGGATTGTCCCAGCTTCCGCGCTCCTTTGCTGCTTTTCCTTAAATATATCAAGCAAAATTCTCTTCGTCTCAAGCTCTACAACAAAGAGAAGAAAAATCGCTTCACATTCAGCGGCCTGCAAATCATTCTACATACTAATTCCTTGGCATCCATAACTAAGCTTCCACGACCCAAGGATAACCTCAAATCGCCGAAGAAATGAGCGAGAACCGCAAAACAAAAACTCACCCATTAGAGCTTCGGATCCGAGTCCGGCGCCGGATCCAATATATCTTCGGAGATTTCGCACCCATAGCATGGACGACGGCGGTGGGATCTTTCTCTGCGCATCGTGACCCTCGCCGTCGCTGGAACCACTGTACATGGCGCCACCACACAAATCCGCCTGCAATGACGAGTTGTTCGACTGAAGAGTTTCAATTACCGTTTCCAACAAGTTGGCCAAAATCCTAGAATTTGTTCGAGAGCTCACTTCCAGAGATTTCAGAGATTTCACTTCGAACGATTTCTCTGCTAAGCTTTTCAGTGGAGAAATATTCTTCAACAAAACAAATGCGATTGATGGTCGTCGGATTTCTCAACGCTTTTTCCAGTTCCAAGACTTTTCTACTTTTAACCATCAAAATTTCTCTTTCTTGCAAAAGAACCCCACTTTTCTGTGTATTTATCAATTAAGCTCTATTCGGGCCGGTTTAGATTATTGGGCTGGGCCCAAGTTACTCCACTCCGCTGAAGGAGTCAAGGTCGCATGGGTCTCAGGCTAACTGGGGAGACGGCAACACCGTCACGGCGCCAGCGAGGGTTTTGTTTCGTTCTGTAAATGCGACGGAGAAGGAGAAGAAGAAGAAGCAGAAGGAAAGCAGCGGTGAGCCCTGGCAGATAACAAGGTTCCTAATTCTCCGGTTAGCTCCTCACTTCTTTCTTTGATTTGGGACAAATGATTGAGCTGCTGGCAATGAGAGTAGGGCTTAGGAATGGAATATTCACGATTTACAGAATTCCTCTTCGACGTGATTTCCCGTCCTCGCTCCTCCGGCACCTCTCAAGCTCGTCGATTAACAAGGAACGCTCCTTCACGGTTTCGTACCTTGTGAGCCAGTTCGGCATTTCATCGGACAGGGCATCTGCACTGTCCAAATACGTCAAATTCCAAACCCCAGAGAAGCCCAATTCGGTGCTTCGTTTCCTCAGGGAGCAACATTTCTCGGAATCGCAGATTTCGAACGTCGTGAAGGGATGCCCGCGGGTGCTTATGGCACAACCAACACAGACCCTTTTGCCCAAGCTACAGTTCTTGCGCTCCTTGGACTTATCGGACCCTGATGTCGCCGAGTTCGTGTCATCCTCCCCTCAAATTTTGATGGCGAGCTTGAAAAACCAGTTGGTCCCTTGCTTCGAGTTCTTCAGAGACCATTACAAGTCCAGAGAGGAAGCTGTTGCAGCCATCAAGAGGCGCCCACGTGCGCTGACAGCCTCCATTCATCGACAAGCTCCCCCTTTACTTCAGACCCTACGAGATGCTGGAACCCCGGAAAGGGCCATCACGCAGTTTGTCCGCCAGTACTGGAGGATGCGATGGATCCCTGGCATTGCTGGCAAGTTCCAGAGGGTTGTGGATGAAGTGGTAGCCATGGGGATCGACCCAACCAAGTGGATTTTCGTTGATGCAGTTGCCTTGCTCTCGAATGTTACCATTTCTACTTGGAAACAGAAGCTTGCTGTGTATGCAAAATGGGGTTGGTCCCAGGAGCAGGCTCTTGAAGCGTTTAGAAAATGGCCTAATTGCTTTAGCGTATCTGAGAAGAAGATAGATGGGCTGATGGATCTGTTTGTGAACAAGCTAGGGTGGGATTCATCCTTTGTTGCCAAGTACCCGATCGTCTTTACATATAGCCTGCAGAAGAGACTCCTGCCACGAGCTTTTGTTCTGCTGTTTCTGGATTCGGAAGGTTTGCTACCTCATGACCGAGCTTCTCCGAGGTGGTCAGTCTTTCTCATCAGCGAAAAGACATTCCTGGAGAAGTATGTTCTTCCTTACCCTGAATCTTCTGCTCTTTTGACGTTGTACTTGGAAAAGAAGAAGTCTGGCCTTCCTTCCAATCACGAGGGGAGAACTACACAGAAGAAAAAGATTAAGATAAAGGAAGGCTCGTATACTTAATGGTGTGGTATGCTACCATTTGTCCACAGATTGTAGTAACTAAACAATTGCCCCTATAAGGCTACAACCTTGTGCCATTATTAATCTATTTTGCGGTTTCTTCTTCTTCAACTCTTCTGGTTCTGGATCAGGAATATGAACACTGTATAGGAAGCTTGGTCGCGCTTATATCCTGAGGAACTGACATGTTTTCTTTTTTTCTTAGCTTCTCTAATGAAAGATGAAGCGAGAAACACAAGAAGAAATCCCTCACTGGTTTTTATTTATTTATTGAATGGAGGTTGTGGAACAACCGAGAGAACAACAAAGACTCAGAACATCACAGGGGAGAAGGGAGAAGCTCTCAACTCTCCTGTCTAATCACCATACGAGGTATACTAACTCCCATAACATCTTCTCTAAGAATTGCTCTTACCGCCTCGGGTAGGTCATCTAATTCATGCATATCAAAGGGATAGACGAGACTGTACTTCGAGAGCCAGTTCGCGACTCCATTCCCTTCCCGGTATGAATGGACTAGATGAACCACCCAGTTATGTGCGAGAGTTCTCCGAATATCTGCAATTTTGCTAGCATGGAGGTGGGTCGGAACATGAGGTTGCGGAATTATAGATCAAGGGCCAAGCGGGAATCAGATTCAATGATCATGAACTCGATTCTTCCCATCCTTCTAGCCAGATTGATGCCCTTTAGGATGCCCCAAAGCTCCGCCATAATCGCTGATCCAGCTCCAATTCTGCAGACAAAACCATTAATCCAATCTCCGTTACTGTTGCGAATGACACCTCTGTTACTGTTGCGAATGACACCTCTGCTCCAATCTCATCCACCATGTCCCTGTGCTGACTACTATGGCATGACGAGTTCTTTGAAGGTTGAAACTGAAAGTAAGCCATTCCGACAAACAAGATAGGTGCAGAACTTACCACCTTCACATCCATGGACAACCTCATCATCACAACAAATAACCACCAAGGACTCGGATACTGCTTCTTGGACGAGTTACAAAACGTTTGACTAATTCTTAGTATTTCGATAAATTTGACTAATAAAAAGGAATTTAAAAAAGGTCTGGCTAATATGAATATTGTTCGTATGTAAATTATCTTCAAATATGTTTTATATGTGATTAAATTTATTTGATGTTGATTTTTTATGTTTTTCATATTTTTCTTAAGCGGAGCACGTGTTTCTTTACTGTCCGGTCGCGCGGGCTCGCTCGGACTACTCGAGATTGGACTATTTAGGGGAGGGCTTGTCTCGGCACATGTTTCCGTTGTTTCTTAAGCGGATGCTCGCCCTTGTCCATCACCCGTCGTTGTTTATGGCTGTGGTTGCCATCCTTAGGCGGATCTGGCGATCGCGGAACTGGGTTGTCTTTGAAGGCAAACAGTTTGGGATTCCGGCTTTAAGGCGTCAATTTCACCAGCAGTACGAGGAATGGGTGGGTCTGCCGGTTGACCAACCGACGAGGATATGCTGCCCGGTGGTTCAACCAGGGACCCAAGTGGTTGATTCTCGTCTGGTTTGCATGTGGGATGGGGCCACTAGGATGGTGGGATGGTTCTTTTTGATCTGGGGTGGACGCTCCTTAGGACAAAAGGTGTGCTATTTGCGCAAATTGAGAGCCATTGGTAGTGGAGTTGCTTGTGCTTCGAGAGGCTATCATCTGGTGTTTAGAGTGTGGCTTGTCCGAAGTTAGGTTCGAGGGTAATGCGAAGGTCATTATTGATAAGATTAATCAAGCCGACACGAGCGAAAGTCACTTGGGGGCAGTCCTGGAAGAGATTTGTCAGTATTTTCGTGCCCATCCGGGGTTTAGTGTGCGGTTGTAGATCGGGAGGCTATCATCTGGGGTTTAGTGTGCGGTTTGTGCTTCGGGAGGCTATCATCTGGTGTTTAGAGTGTGGCTTGTCCGAAGTTAGGTTCGAGGGTGATGCGAAGGTCATTATTGATAAGATTAATCAAGTCGACACGAGCGACAGTCACTTGGGGGCAGTCCTGGAAGAGATTTGTCAGTATTTTCGTGCCCATCCAGGGTTTAGTGTGCGGTTTGTAGGTCGGGAGAACAATAGGGTAGCTCATTCGGTAACTAGAAAAACCCTCTCTTTGTACCCGACTGTAAATCATTTCTTTGATTTAGGGCCTGGCTGCTATCCAGGATGTAACTATCTTTTTGATTGGATTAATATATGATATCTTTTGACAAAAAAAAATTCATATTTTATTAAACCGATGTGAACCGTCGATTGAACCATATCACTTGCTAAACCGACACAATGGTATAAACCAGTTTCACAACCTTAATTTATTCTCAAATTTCTCATTTGTACATCCAAATAAGTTAAAGTGTCAATATGTTCTTTTTTTCCTTTTTAGGTTTTGAACAAAAGAATGATGGAAGATTAGTATAAAGGATGTAAGTGACTTGAGAGGGTAAAATACCTCGGGTACCACTTAAGTTTCAGAATCGACGCCCAATTAAGTTTGAATAGGGCGTCGGGTACCACTGAATTCTATTATTTGTGCACCCGGTACCACTTAAGTTTAATGTTAAGTGCATTCCGTTAAAGTTAACAGAATATTCTTGGAATATTCTGTTTTCTAAATTTCTTAATTGGTCCTTCTACTTTTCTTATTGTAAAAAATCATTTTGACTTATGAAAAACATCAATTTTTATTATTTAATTGGTATCCTCTTTTGAAAACTTGATACCAAATTAATTTTTGAATAAAAAATTTAAAGTCAATTATCATTATAAGTATTTTCAATTATCATTATGTTTTCTAATAATTGAATTATTCTCATATTATTTTTTTTTGAAGATTTTGATACCAAACCAATTTTTGAATAGGAAATGTAGAATCAATTATCATTGTAAGTCCTTTAAATTACCATTATGTGTTATAATAATTTAATAATTTGCTTATTATTTTTTACTAACTTATCTATTTTATTGACAATTTTGATTAGTCATTTTACTAATATTATGTTTAGAAGGTTTTTTTAATTTCTACATTAGATAAAAACTTGTTAAAATATAGTTTTGATTGTTTTAAAAGTTTTGGGTACCAAAAAGTAATTAAAATTTTATCTTGCATGGAAAACTAGACGGATGCACATTTTGGTGAGTTTAATGGTACCCGACGCTCTATTCAAACTTAAGTGGTATGTTTGCCCCAATTCTCAAACTTTAGTGGTACCCGAGGTATTTTACCCTAAGTTGAGAACACATGTTTGGAAGTTGAGATTCTCCAAATAGATGCATTTAATCAATTCATGTATTATTATTTGATGTATTGATTCAATGCATGTATTAGGAAAACACCTTGTTTGGAAAGATAATGATTGAGCAAAAAGTAGGGTAGACAATCCCTTGTTAACAATCTCTACTTTTTGTAGAGATTGACAATCATTCATTTTGAGTGATTGTGGGTGGGCCAGGAAAAAGGTAATACATGCATTCTAACTCAAATTGAACAAAAAAAACGACTTAATCTTATCATTACATGTATTGGCTAAATACCTCACTTGAAATCTCAACTTCCAAACGACTCCTTACTTACGGGGCATAAATGTAATTCTTGTCAAATTAGATGTGCCGAAGGAAAAAAAGTCAAAAACAGTGTGCCTCTCCTAAACCCTAGCTGGGGCGGTATAAATACTAAGATCGAATTCCGAAATTCTGAAATTCCGAAGTTCCCACCCCTACCAACTGTTGCTCGCCGGAATCGTTCGCGCCGCCATGGGGAGAAGTAAGTACCGCCGCTCTCTGGTCCCCGCCGTTGATTTAAACTTGTTATTCAGATACGAACCCAGTTTGTCGATTTCTCTTTGGTCTGCGGCTCTGGTTTATCTGCTCATATTCGTTTGCCTTTCAATTTCCCGTCGAGAATCTAGATTTGCTTCCGTCTTCTAGATTCGACTACCTTAGTCTTGATGGAAGAGGATGATATAATCGTTTAATCGTCTGGTAGATTGATTGTTCGTTCTGGGTTTTTTATAGGGCCAGCAAGGTGTTACCGCCAGATCAAGAACAAGCCATACCCTAAGTCCCGCTTCTGCCGTGGTGTCCCTGACCCCAAGATCAGGATCTACGATGTGGGGATGAAGAAGAAGGGAGTCGATGAGTTCCCCTTCTGCGTCCACTTGGTCTCGTGGGAGAAGGAGAATGTCTCCAGCGAGGCTCTCGAGGCTGCACGCATTGCCTGCAACAAGTACATGACCAAGACGGCTGGCAAGGACGCTTTCCATTTGAGGGTCCGTGTCCACCCGTTCCATGTCCTCCGTATCAACAAGATGCTTTCGTGTGCTGGAGCCGATAGGCTCCAGACGGGTATGAGGGGTGCATTCGGCAAGCCACAAGGTGTTTGTGCCAGGGTGGCGATCGGCCAGGTTCTCCTGTCTGTTCGCTGCAAGGACAACAACAGCACTCATGCTCAGGAGGCTCTTCGTCGAGCCAAGTTCAAGTTCCCTGGTCGTCAAAAGATCATTGTCAGCAGGAAATGGTATGTCTAAAAGCTAATGTGTTGTGCCATGCTGGTGCATTTTGATTATACATCTCTTTGCTTGCTGTTGGAATTTAGTTAGAAGATTGATGCATGATGATGGCAATTATTTCACTTAAGATGGGTTTGTTCGAATAGATAGCTTTAAGATTCTTGTTGGTCTTGTTGAGTGTTATGTCGAAATCATTGTCTATAGCCTAAATTTTATGAGGGGTTTCTCATCTCTCCTTGTGTGTGGAATTTGGAGTCTCCAGAAAGTTGAATTCCATACATTTTTGGAATTTGGGTTTCTCATCGCTTGGATTGCTCATTGACTATTGGCAATTTTCATAGTTCTCATTTTTGGCTAAATTTTGTGGTGATTAGGGGGTTTACCAAGTTCAATCGTGCCGACTATGTGAGATTGAAGCAAGATCAGAGGATTGTGCCTGATGGTGTCAATGCTAAGGTTAGTGTTGTTGTCCTTTACAAGTTTTAACACCGAAACGAATTTAGTGTTTGGGAATTGTGCGTCCAGAAATTGTTTATAATGATGCAAACCTCTTATTGTTGATGCAGCTTCTTGGATGTCATGGACCATTGGCAAAACGGGCGCCTGGACAAGCCTTTTTGACGTCTGCAGCTTAGAACTCTGTTCGCCCTTTCCATAGCAGTAGTTAATCTTCCTGATGAGGAACATCAAAACTCTTTTCGGCATTTTGTGTTGGGGTAGATTTGCTTTGCCCTTCGTTATATGAGGATTACGTAAAACGTTGGTTTATTGTTCTGTGGCTCGTCTGAAGTATGATTGATTCTGTTCTCACATTCTATGGATCATTTTGTTCATGTCGTTGCCTTTAAGTTTCACATTCATTATAAGCCACAAAACCAGGAGGTATATCCCTGAGGTTTTCTGGCTCTGAAAATCCATTTCCTTGTTACGCGGAGCGTGTACTACGATATTCATGTTTGGTGGAGTGAATTGTTCTATGTTCATGTTAGTCTTCTTAAATGTATGTTAGTAAACTGAATCATTGATCCTCTAGCATTCGTAAGTGACGAACTTGAGGAGCGCCGATGACATGTTACGACGAAATGCGGTACTCCTTGTTGATAGATGAGCTTGAGAAGCACCATACGAGTAAGGTCGGAGCATCACATTGAAGAAGATGATGATGAAGATGAAGTCTGTATATTGTGGATTCCAATTTCCAATCCTACGCCCTACTTTTAGACTGAACGATGAGAGGGCCCAACTGTCTGATCTTGACGAGGATCATATAAGACATGGGCCTAGCGTCCAATTGCGAAATTGGAAGCCCAACTTCGTTAATCACGTAAACCCAGGGGCCAGGAGCCCAGGATACGACTCTACGAAAGCCGTTCATCCTTTTGAAGTTTGAGCTGCTATCCAGCGGCAGAGAGCTCAGGCAAAACGAAAATGGCGGCCGCCATATCCGCATCCTTCTTCTCTCCTCAAGCTCTAGCTCGCTCCAGAACAGGAACCCCTAGCCGCGGCAACTCAACGAACAGGAATTCCTCCAAGAACGCCAACTTCAATCGCACTTCCAAATTGAAGCCTCAGAGGTCCACTTACAAGTCCCCTCCCGAACCGGTATCCACTTCCGGCACCGGCGGCGACGCCACCACCTACACTTGCCTTCCCGTCCGGGAAGACTTCTCCCTCCCTTCCTTCGCTTCCGCTCCATATTCCGCTGCGGAGGTTCGCCTCTCCGATTTAGGCGCGGCGGAGAATCGTAAGGAGAGCGGCGGAATTCGCAGTTCAAGCAAAGTAGAAGAAGAGATTGAAGAAGCAGAGGAAGAAGGAGCGGCGGAGAATCGTAAGGAGAGCGGCGGAATTCGCAGTTCAAGCAAGGTAGAGGAGGTTGAAGAAGAGGAGGAGGAAGAAGGCGTCGATTACAGCCGGTATGAATTGTACGAGGTCGGCTCCGATGGGGAAGAAGGCGAGGATGATTACGATTGCGACAGTGGCGATGAGGAGGAAGAGGAGATAGATGGAAGCGACGGTCGAACCTACCAGGTGTTGGAGCAATTCGCCAGCGGAGGCGGAACTCTGGACGATTCTGATGTGGAGGAGGAAGAAGAAGAAGAAGAAGAAGGAGATGAAAGCGATAGCTCCGCCGGTCGATCGTACCAGGTGTTGGAGGAATTCGCCGGCGGAGGCGGGAGAACGTTGAAGGATGGTTTCAATTTGGACGAGAACGAGGAAGAAGATGACGTTAAGGAGAAGGGAGTACCGGCGGTGATGCGGTGCTTCGACAGGGCTAAAGTTTTCGTGAAAGCCGGAGACGGTGGCAACGGCGTGGTGGCTTTCCGCCGTGAGAAATTCGTGCCGTTGGGAGGTCCGTCGGGAGGGGACGGAGGAAGAGGAGGCAATATCTACTTAGAAGTGGACGGTTCCATGAACTCGCTGTTGCCGTTTCGAAACAAGATCCATTTCAGGGCCGGGAGAGGTTCACACGGGCAAGGATCAATGATGAATGGGGCTAAAGGAGAAGACGTGGTGGTGAAGGTAGCTCCTGGGACTGTGGTTCGAGAAGCTGGACGAGACGAAGTTCTGCTGGAGCTCTTGTATCCTGGCCAACGGGCTCTGCTGTTGCCTGGTGGGAGAGGTGGGAGAGGGAATACTGCATTTAAGTGTGGGAGCAACAAGGTACCCAGGATTGCAGAGAATGGAGAAGAAGGCACTGAAATGTGAGTAGTATGATCTTGATCCATTACCAACTAGTTCATATCATCAGCTGTTCATAGCTCTGCTTAAGTTAATCCTAGTGAATAACGTTGAATGAATTTTGAAGAAAGTGATGGCTAACTTATTGAACAGTGGATAATCTTATCCGTGTGGATCTTTGATCTCGGATGCTTTTCTGCACTGTATTTGTGGAGTGGGAGCCTTAATTTTGTTTTACTTCAGTGGCTAATCTTATCTGAGTCTGGTTTCTGTGATTGGTAAGGTTGTTAGAGCATCAAGGAAACAGTGCTTATTTGAAGCTTTGGTGAATGTTGACATGATTTCGCAGGTGGATAGAGCTGGAGCTAAAACTGGTTGCAGATGTGGGAATAGTTGGTGCACCAAATGCTGGGAAAAGCACGCTATTAAGCGTGGTTAGTGCAGCACAACCAGCAATAGCAAACTACCCTTTCACAACATTACTTCCGAATCTCGGTGTGGTTTCATTCGATTATGATTCCACCATGGTGGTGGCAGACCTTCCAGGTTTGCTTGAAGGAGCACACAGAGGTTTCGGCTTAGGGCACGAATTCCTGCGGCACACTGAAAGATGTTCTGCGCTGGTATATATAACGGTTTAGTCATTGTGCTTCAACTATTTCATACTGTCCACTTTGCTAGACGAGCAGTGAATTTCTCTCTCTTTTTGGAACCCTACAGATACACGTTGTTGATGGGTCGTTACCGCAGCCAGATCTCGAGTTTGAGGCCGTACGTCTTGAGCTGGAAATGTTTAGTCCTGAAATTGAAGAGAAGCCATTTATTGTTGCCTATAACAAAATGGACCTTCCAGAAGCTTATGAGAATTGGCCCACTTTCAGAAAACAGCTACAAGCTCGTGGGATTGAGCCATTTTGCATGAGTGCTGTGACCAGAGAGGGAACTCGTGAAGTGATCTCTGCTGCTTACGAGCTTCTACAGAAGAATAAAAAAACTGAAACGGAGTTTGAAGGTAATATATATTTTCAGTCTTAGCTTCTCTCTTTCCTGGATTCATGATTGAATTTTCCATCTGTTTTTAGGTCGGAAAGATCCCGAGAACTTGAACCATGTGGCTGACATGGTGAGGAAGCAGCAAAGAGCACCGATCAATGACTTTGAGATCTCGTACGAGAACGAGTCCAAGACTTGGCACGTGACTGGGTCCGGGTTGCAACGATTTGTTCAGATGACGAATTGGCGGTACGATTTCAATTCAGCTCCCTCCTTTGAATAAGTTGCATACCATAGGAATCTACCTCTGAAGGAATCAAATGATCCAACTGAGCCCATAGAGAGAAATTGACTTCTTGGCTCTTGCATCTTGCTCCCACAGGATTGATTACACCGGTCACTTAAAAAACCAAACATTGTATTCTGACATTACACAGTTCTTACAATTCATCTGCAAAATACATTGGACAGCACATGGATTTATACCAAACACCCCGCTTGCTCATATCTTTCTACAAAAACAGATACATGGATTCTGAAAGGAGATTCCAGCATGTCCTGGAGGCCTGCGGAGTAAATAAGGCGCTGTTGAAGAGGGGCGTCAAGGAAGGAGACACAGTGATCGTCGGAGAGGTTTGTACAGGCTACCCGTCCACTCATCCCATTTTCCAAGTTTAGGTAACATGATTCTTTCAGTGAAGTTTCGTTTTTTTTATTTTTTTTTTCGTTCGGGATTCTGCCAGATGGAATTGGAGTGGCACGATTATCCGCATAGCTCAGGTCCATCGTACTTGAAGAAGCGCTTTGTCGAGTCAGCCAGATGGCCTCAATGGACTTAACCAATCCTTTTCGCGGCAAAGTTGCTGTTTGCTCGTACCGTCTACCAGCAATGTGATTCTCCGAGGCAATGCAGGTACGTACGGCGCTCTCTCCTGAATCTACTGCGAAACAGGAAGCTCTCGATTGGCGAACTTTTTTTAGTGACATTTGTATCGTAGCCTCGACACAATGATATATCGCGGCCCATGTTTGTTTTCATCCCATTTTTCTACAGGGGGGACACCAAATTAACAACCGTATTCCATGAATGAATGCAGGCAGCAGCAGCAGCAGCAGCAGCTTGAAGTTCATATTTGCAGGAAGCACCGAAAGCTAACTACTCTGGTAGACGATGAAGGAGAGTCCAGTAGATGAAATTGGTTGTTGTGATTGTATAATTTAATTATCTATCATCTCTTTGTTATGCCGGGAACTTCAGATTTGTTGTAGAGTATGGTAAAAAATCCTATTAATAAAAACAGTTAATGCAGTATTCTTATTAGATAAAGGAATTTTTTCAGAAATAGCACTGTTAAAAAAAATCAATAATTCTGAAAAATTCCAAAAATAGCATCTTTTTTGCCAAAAACCGTCACCCGTACCTACGGTTTAAGAAAAAATCGCCACCTGGGGGCGCGTTTTTCGATGAAAACCGCACTCGTAGGCGGCGATTTTGCAAACTGCATGGGGTCGTGGCGGTTTGGTTACAAACCGCACCCCCACCATACGGTTGGTTTGCAGACCGCATCCCCACCATGCGGTCTTTTTTTTTTTAAATCCTAACCTAGGTGGAAACTTCAAACGAACGTATCTTTGTGTTCGGGTATACGATCGTCAGGTTTTTTTTTATATTCCGCATAACTTTTTGAGATCATGCAAGCCGAAGACTGCCGAAGGTGGTTTGGTCCCGCCTTCGTCCCAAAAAATGTCGTTTGCTACCCCGAACGAGCTTTTTCCAAACTTTGGACAACCATAACTTTGTGCTCCAAAATCCAAACGACATGATTTTTTTTATCTCGCATAAATTTTTAAGGAATACAACTTTTATCATAGACATAGTTTCGAAATGTACGTGGATTGCTGAAAAGGGAAGGTAAGCTATTGCCAAAATCTTGTATATCCAAAAATAATTCATGTTTTGAAAATTCATTCCTAGTAAAAATTGTAGTCATTAAAAAGTCATGCGAAATGAAAAAAAAATCATGAAGTTCGGATTTATTGAGATCCAAAATTGTAGTCCTTAAAAAGTTATGCGAAATGGGAAAAAAAAAACATGAAGTTCGGATTTATTGAGCACAAAGTTATGGTTGTCCAAAGTTTGACGAAATCGGAAAAAAGCTCGTTCGGCGTAGCAAACGACATTTTTTCGGGACGAAGGGCGGACCAAACCACCTTCGGCAGTCTTCGGCTTGCAAAATCTAGAAAAGTTATGCGGAATAAAAAAAAAACGTGACGATCGGATACCCGAACACAAAGATACGTTCGTTTGAAGTTTCCACCTAGGTTAGGATTTAAAAAAAAAAACCGCATGGTGGGGGGAGAGAGGATCCAGTGACTAAGGGGGGTGCTTAGTCACTTGACTAAGCCCCTCCCAGCCCTTAGATCTGGATATAGCAATCTGATGGTTAAAAAGTGGGAAGGGCTATTTAATTAATGACAAGGGTAGTTTGGGTATTATGGAAAATTACGAAGTATACAAACCGGACTTGCAATCAATACAAACCATAAAACATACAAACAGTACAAACTACAACGACAAAACATACAAACAGATTTACAAACATTACAAACGTATGAATTGTACAAACTAGACCGACAAACAATACAAACCATACAAAAAACAACCGGGTTGACTTTGGAGGCTCCATCCCTATATAGATGGGCTCCTTCTCAAAGTCAACCCGGATGTTTTTTAGACATACAAACATGGTGGACAAAAATGACAAACTAGACCAAAAATTCATACAAATTGGAAAAACAGCCGGGTTGACTTTGGAGGCTTCATCCCTATATAGCTTCGTCTCAAATTCAAGCCGGTTGTTTTTTAGACATACAAACATTACGAACATGGTGGACAAAAATGACAAACTAGACCGACAATCCATACAAACTGGAAAAAACACCCGGGTTGACTTTGGAGGCTCCATCCCTATATAGAGGAGTTCCATCCAAAAGTCATCCAGGTCGTTTTTTAGACATAAAAAACATTACAAACATGGTTGACAAAAATGATAAACATGGTGTACAAAAATAACAAAGTTTACAAACATCACAAAAGAAAACCGACAAACATTACAAAATAACAAAGCGTACAAACATTACAAAATAAACCAACAAACAGTACAAAGCATACTAACCGTACAAAATGTCACTAAAAATAACAAATAATACAAACCGAATCTATACAAACATTATAAAATAGATCAGCAAACTTCACAAATCCAACACTGTCGCCGAGAAATCCTTCTTTATCGTCGTTGGTCGCCGGAAAAGTTTCCTCCGGTCTCCGGAAACTCTCTCTCTCTCTCTCTCTCTCTCTCTCTCTCTCTCTCTCTCTCTCTCTCTCTCTCTCTCTCTCTCTCTCTCTCTCTCTCTCTCTCTCTCTCTCTCTCTCTCTCTCTCTCTCTCTCTCTCTCTCTCTCTCTCTCTCTCTCTCTCTCTCTCTCTCTCCCCGCACAAATCAATGGAATGGGGATGAAATGAGGAATGGGGATGAAAATCCCACCTCTCTCGCGTTCCCAAAAATTAATAAAAGCCGGCGGTGGGGACCGTCGTGAAGAAACGGCGGTGGGGACAGGCGGCCGCTGTACGGGAAGTTTGCCGGCGGGGACTCGCGGGAAGGGAGGCGGGTAGCTGTTTATTTTTATTTATTATTTTAATTAATAAATTAAATAATAATATAATTATTATAATGTCCTTCATTAAATTGGATTAATTGGAGCCATTGGATTTTAATGAGGTGGAATGGCTGAGATCGACTTAGCCAAGTGACTAAGGGGACCCCCTTTAGTCACCAGATCTTATCCCATGGTGGGGGTGCGATTTTCGCCTAAACCGCTGGTACGGGTGGCGGTTTTTGGAAAAAGGGTGCTATTTTTGAAATTTTTCGAAGTTGGGTGCTATTTTTGGGGAAAAAAACTATTTGTGGAAAATCCCCTTCATAAACTACCAGACATTAGAAAATCAACCAAAGTTAAGAGTGCGGATCCCATGACTAAGGGGGGGTCCTTAGTCACTTGACTAAGCCCCTCCTAGCCATTAGATCTGGACACTTCAATCTAATGGTTAAAAAGTGGGAAGGGCTATTTAATTAATGACAGGGGTAGTTTGGGTATTATGGAAAATTACAAAGTATACATACTGGATTTACAATCAGTACAAACCATACAAACATACGAACAGTACAAACTAGAGCGACAAAACATACAAACATTACAAACGTATGAACTGTACAAACAATACAAACTAGACCGACAAACAATACAAACCATACAAAAAGAAAAAACACCCGGGTTGACTTTGGAGGCTCCATCCCTATATAGAGGGGCTCCTTCCCAAAGTCAACCCGGGTGTTTTTTAGACATACAAACAGTACGAACATGGTGGACAAAAATGACAAACTATAGCGACAATCCATACGAACTGAAAAAACACCCGGGTTGACTTTGGAGGCTCCATCCCTATATAGAGGGGCTCCTTCCCAAAGTCAACCCGGGTGTTTTTTAGACATACAAACAGTACGAACATGGTGGACAAAAATGACAAACTATAGCGACAATCCATACGAACTGAAAAAAACACCCGGGTTGACTTTGGAGGCTCCATCCCTATATAGAGGGGCTCCTTCCCAAAGTCAACCCGGGTGTTTTTTAGACATACAAACAGTACGAACATGGTGGACAAAAATGACAAACTATACCGACAATCCATACGAACTGAAAAAACACCCGGGTTGACTTTGGGGGCTCCATCCCTATATAGAGGGGCTCCTTCCCAAAGTCAACCCGGGTGTTTTTTAGACATAAAAAACATTACAAACATGGTTGACAAAAATGATAAACACGATACACAAAAATAACAAAGTTTACAAACATTACAAATAAAACCGACAAACATTACAAAATAACAAAGCGTACAAACATTACAAAAAAAACCGACAAACATTACAAAAATAACAAAGCGTACAAACATTACAAAATAAACCGACAAACAATACAAAGCATTCTAATAGTACAAAATCTCTCTCTCACTCTCTCTCTTTGCACTCCCAGAACTCTCTCTCGTGGGAACTTGGGGAATAAATTCCCATAACAAAAAGTGACCGCCCAGGTGACGGAATTCCCTGGTCGGCGATGGCGGATCCCGGCGGGGGAAAAAAAACGAGACGGACGGCAGGGCAGGGAGAGAAGAGCCGGAAAAAAAATATTTAATAATTAAAAATAAAAATAATCATGAACTTACAGTTTTGCCCTTCATTAAAGTAGATTAATTGTAGCCATTAGATTTTAATGAGATGGAAGGGCTGAGATTTACTTAGTCATGTGACTAAGGCCCCCCCTCTTAGTCACCCGATCCTAGCCCCAAAGTTAATAAGAGGAATTAATAATGAAGTTCGGATACTCTTTGTTTTGAGACTCTTTTAAGTTAGAGAGCAAATATGTAGTACTTGCCGTCACTATTAAGAGCAAACTGGTTATTGAAAATTGTATTGATTATCTATTTTAAAAAATTTTATATATATATTTTATGGTTAATCAAAATTGTATTGAAGCCCGGGGAGGTGCAACTCGCAACCTCCCTCTCAATGTGTCAACGCTTTACACTCAAAAGAAACATATACCAGCAAGTAATCAAACCCAGAAACAACAACAAAAAAACATACGACCCTATAAACCCTAGCACTTCCATGACCATCTTCTGCAAGGCAATTGTCCTGCCTGAGTATATGTGAAGTTCCTGCACTACTGTAGTTGAGATTTGAATCGGATCTGAGACTCTTCTTGGACCATAAATGCGAGCACATCTCTCTCGCCAAATATATGCACAACACATCGTCCATAACAATCTGCCAACCTTAGCCTTCGAGCTTGTACCTAACCATCTTTGCGTCACCCAGACCAATTGAGAACACCAGTCCTGAAAAGAAGGCCATCTGCAGACTTTCCTTAACACTGTCTGGAAAATCTCAGTGTTGTATGAACATAAAGAAAACAGGTGATGTCGACTCTCAAACCCACCAGGACAAATAACACAACAGCTTTCACCTGCTAACCCCCAACTTTCAACCTTGTCTTTCGTTGTTATTCTATCCAAAATTATCAACCATACCAGCAGACTGTGCTTTGAGATAAAAAGGCTTACCCCACAAAATAGGACACCACTCAATAGGGGGGAAAATTATATTTTTGAAATACATAACAATCAAATTTTATTTTCCTATTTCTCAATTTCGCAGTTCTCTAACCACCTCTTTTTCTTCTTCTTCTTGATTTTCTTCTCATCTCTTTTCAGCCGAACTAATACCACTGTAAAAATAAATCATAAAATCAATATCAAATCATTAAAAAATACTTCCACTTCAACAAAACACTAATATCAGTTCGGAAGAATCAGTACCGTGATATATGATTCATTATTGAATCTCTCAAAGTTTCAAATTTATATAAATTGACTTCCGTTTGAAGGGTTTGTTAGTGAATCATATAGGGTTTATTATTGAACCTTGCAAAATAACTCAAATTGTTTATAATAAAATAATTCTTTACAAAGAACATCATTCGAAAACCCATTATCCATGATTTCCTAACAAGTGTCGTCAATTCGGTCCCTACAAATTAATTCCAGTTAGGCCTTAATTAATAAATGTTGAACCAATTTTATTAATTCCTTGTCCGGGGGCATTGTTGTTTGTTTGGAATCATATAGGCAGCTGTCACCATCCCTCTTTTCTTTTATGTGCAAATCTTTATTGCTTTCGTGTGGGAAGTGTACCGTACAATACCAAAAAACAAAGAGAAGGGGCAAGGGCATATATGATAATTGAAATGGGGTCATCAAGATTTTGCACACGTCCTTCCCATCTTTTAAACCCTTAATTAAGAAAGAAGACATATATATATATATATATAAATTAATTAACACTACTACATATACCCTTTCCAACTACCATGCTTGATTTTATATGAATCATATCAAGAATGACACTTTTGTTGTTTACTTCACTACTAGTTGTTCCATCAACTCTGTAGCAATGATTGTGAAAGTGTACCGAAAGTTATGGCGAAAAAGTTAGTGGTATGGTATTTGTACTAAAACCGTTATTGAATCATGGTTCAACCGCTTCGTATAGCTAAACCGTTTATCATTTGGAATGTTGTATGATCTAATATTCCAGTCCGATCGATATTGTAGGGTTTCTAAAGCATTGCTCCCTAGTAACAAGATTCCATAGAAAACAAGAAGCTATTCTTTCAAAGACTTCGTTGTTACTGGGTAATTGAAACTGGATTGAACATGTGGCATTAGTATTAGTAATGAAGACATGGCTACTTAACCAACAAAATATACACTGATTTCCTAGTTTCCTTGCCCTAATCAAATGCTCCCAAAATTGGCCGAATATCTATGGGGCCGGAGTTTACCATCGCAAAGACGGATTTCTGCTTGTAGGGAAAAAAAGGGCACTTCACTTTCAGGAAGAAATGCACCTACTTCTGAATGGGAAATGAAGATGTTAGAAATAGAGAAAGTTATGGAGAGAGGAATTTCAACTCATTATTACAAACAAAAGAAGGTAGAGATTCTTGGTATACATTGTAAACTATGCATAAACAGGAGTCATCAATAACAATGTCACAGAAAGATAGGGACAGAGAGAGAGAGAGTTGATTGTGGGAACAACACATATAAGAACAAACTATGCATCTAATCACATTGGAGGAGAAAAAGATGGAAAAATGAAAAAGGTAAAGAGAACATTGAGATTGTGCCTCCCATCTTTTTCCACAAATCTGTTCAGGTATTTCTTCACACTAAAACCCCTGCACCAAAAAACTGGGGGGTTGAACAAGAAAACCCCTTCCAATTCCTTCTTTCCTTTTCACTGCACCAATTGGAAGCCATCAGGCTGAAGTGAAAGGAAGAATCTTGAGCTGCTCTCATTCTTCTTTCGTCTTTGAAAACAAAGAAGAGAACATACAATATGCCACAATTCTCCAAAGTCCAAACCAACTCTCTCTCCCCAACTTCCCTTGGGACTCAACTTCTGTCTAAAGAGAGGGAGAGGGAGAGAGGCAAGAGAACTGCAAGTAACCTCTCATGGTTATTATTCAAACAAAAAAAGGGGTGGGGCAAACAAGGCTATATTAGGGCAGTTCACTAAGCCTTGCCCATAGTTTATTCAAAAGATGAGGGGGGGAAAGATAGATGGCCATATGAGGGATGATATAAGTTATGAGAACCTTTTGCTTCCTAGTTGACAGCTAGCATGGGGTGAAAGAAAAAAGAGAAGATTGTGGCTTTCATGAATGGTGATCGAGGTAGAATGAACAGAGGATGCAAGAACCTTTCAATTAGCTCGAGGCATGTGCATTGCTGTCACCGCCACTGCTGCTGCTGCCAGTTAAAGAACCAGAAGAAGGTTGATGAGTACTTGAATAAGTTGAGCCTATGAACCCACTGTAGGTGTTAACTGATGATGATGTCATCCTCGTGGAACTGGAGGAGTCCTTGCTAGATCCTCCTGTCGGTTCAAGGCGTAGCTCTGAGGATGAAGAGGATGGAGCTAGAGTGCCGATTGAAGAGCCCACGGGGTATGGTGCAACGGGCATATCGGCCAAGGATGATGCAGATGGGCTGTAACTTATTCCCATTGGATGATCGAATCTGCATGCTGGACCGAACTTGCATTGCCCACGCTGCGTGTAGTGAGTGCAAAGAGGGGCCCCCTGATTAAGAGAAATGAACAAAATTAATAGGCTTGAAGGCAAAAGCAAGAGATTTCGTAGTTATGATCAACAGAAAGATAAAACACTAAATGTTAAAAGCATAAGGACATAAACAACAAAATGTGAGAGAAGTTTCACGCGCAATGCATTCCACAGATGGGAAGTTCCTGACCGTATCATTTGACATAGAGACCAGCATCATTATTAAAAGGAATAAAATGATCATGTATAATTACTGTTACTGGCCAAGATCCCATAAGAAAAGAAACTCATAACGTGACATTCAGAAAGGACAGGAACGCACCAAAACACTGACACAGAGGTTTGAACACTGACACAGATGTTTGGGATACACAAGGTATCAAATTTGGATCCTAGATCGGAAGAACATAGATTTGGATGGTTGGTTTAGTAGATATCAAAGCCATGAAAGTAAGCAATATTCAGAAAATAATAATATTGTGATCAAGAATCTGATCTATCAAAGAGCAGATTCTTGACTAGTAAATGTTCCATGTGGGAGTGGTACATTTGAAGACATCAAAAAGAAAGTCTTGATAGGAGAGGCAGCGGCAAACAACTTAACTTCTTTGAGACCTCCGGAAGCTTGAGACACTTAACCCACAAACAGAAAATAGCAAGACATACCCAGCTTTCCAAGAGCAACTCATATGAGTTATCTCAACAACCACTTCCATTCAGTCCCAATAACTCATCTATCCAGATACCAACATTAAATCCATTGGACCATTACCTCAAATAAATGTTCATAAATGCAACCTAGAGCATGCGTATGCAGGATATTGGGAATGCTGTCTCCAGCTAAGCACAGAATGGGTAAGCAGACTAATAGTTTACCCCCACACGTCTAGACCAACTTCAGTCAATGTAGATTCTTTTTGCTATGCTTATGCTGCCTCTAAGACAGGACTGAACAAAATTCATACACAAGGCAAGCCCCCAAATATACCAAACAATTTTCCTCGCATGCACCAGTAGGGAAACAGAGATTGTAAGAAATCTTGTCTCAATAGGATAATAAGCTTAGACAATGAAAATCAGGACAGCAGCTTTCAGCTGCCAAAGAACAGGCCGATACTTCAAGTCATGCATACTAGAGTTAAAAGGAAACTGGTCTACTACCAGCTCTCTAACCAACATGAACAGAGAGCCAGATATTGATGTGTGACCCAGATACATCATTCCAAACTTACTGGAAATATTACAGGCCCATATGGAAGATTAAGCTTTCATGGTTGTAATATTCAAATGGAAGGTATAACATCTACCATAAGGCAGATTAAGGTGCAACCGACTCTTGAAGAAATAGTAAAATTCGAGTAAGAAATTATGCAAGACTTAAATTGCACAAAAGGAACCACATACAATAAGCAACTTCATGTGCATTAACAATGTGAATGTCATTGGGTAATATGGAGATATTCACGCTATCATAGTAAAAGTATCAGTTGACATCTACATAACACTTCCACCAGCATTCAGTGCGTCAACATCATTAAAATGGAGGGAGAAAAGGCTGTATACGCAAAAACATCAGAAGTCATATAAACACAACTGAAAGCAGAACCAAATTGATCATATGTCTATATTAAAAGATAGGCACACATTGAAGTGATAACAAACAGCTGACCACAATCCAAGTCTCACGAGACAGAGTAGTCTGTAGAAGTGCTTACTGGGCGCATGGGGAGACCCAATGGACTAAGAGCGACATTCGGTTTTGGTGCACTGAATTCAGGCGGGTGATGGTATCTACATGACGATCCAAATTTACAATCACCGGTTTTCATGTAATATTGACACTCTGGTTGACCCGGTCTCTCAGGAAAAGACTGTTCCTTTTGGCTACTACTTGAAGGCCCAATTGAAGAAGGCATAGGTGAATAAGCCCCGATATAGGCAGGTGCCGATGGCGACAATTGAGTTATTCCATACACAGAACTCGAACCAAGTGCAGACTGACTGCCAGGAGATGCTGCTGGACTTACGTGACCCTGCACAATGAGATATCACAACTCAAGTGAATGACAGTGAAAACACTGTTAAAAAATTGAGGCAACAAGAGAGAATTCACGTACCGGGTAAGGGCTCCAGCTTGGGTAGGAAACTACACCTGGAGACAGAAGCATGGGACCATAAGGTCCTTGTGTATATGTGCTTTGCAACAAAGGAGGCCTTGCAACTAATACCCCGTATTGTTGGGATGAGGGAACTGATGGAGACTGCATGGGTGGATATAATGCAGGAGCAGCTAATGGAGTAGCCACAGGTGCTACCTGTGATGGCAATGACTGCCGTTGAACTTGTACATTGGCTGGCTGTGGGTGATGGAATTTACATGTAGCACCAAACTTGCACTGCCCTGTCTTTATATAGTATGTACATTCTTTCTCGCCCTGTTTGAAAATCAATCAACACTCATACGAATCAACAAACAAGATATCAAATCCGTAACTCCATCCACAATACAATAGAAAAGATGCAACAGATTAATCACGAGGTAAAAGGATGTACGAACCGGACGTAAAGGGTAACCATAATAATTTAGAGGCACAGGAGCAGCTGAACCAATTGCTTGCTTTGGGTGGTGGTATTTGCAAGAAGCACCAAATTTACAACTTCCAGTCCTCATATAATACTGCAAAGTTTTGACGACAACACCATTTCAGTAACACATCAAACTGGAAACAGACAGATAGATGGTGAACCAACTGAAAACTCCAAATATCCTCCTGGGTTCATTCCTAAAAACTGTTGAAGAACTTTAACAACTTAGTGCATTGTCCATTATCAACCATCCACGTTATGAAGAAGAGCCAAAAATGGGGTTTACCTGACACAAAGGCTGGCCCACTCGTTCAGGGAACTCCCCTCCACCAGCCCTAGCAGCTCCCAGTACCTAATCAATTCACACACAAATGTCAACTGAAAGAAGAGATCACTTTCCAATTTCCACAGCAACTCAGCTAGGCAAATGATCGAACACTTGGCAGTCGGCACCGACTCCCGCAACCAAACAAAATTTAGGCGAAAACCAAACACCGTAATCGCCCAATCCCAATCGAGATCGCAGAAACGACCAGCGATCGCCCTTGAAGCAGTCATTTTCAGACGAGAAAGAGAAGCTTACCGCAGCTCGGTCACGGGGGTGGTTGAACCGACACCTCGCTCCGTACCCGCAAAACCCTGTCCTCAAGTAGTAGATACAATCGGCCTCGTCGGGTCTTTCCGGGTACCCGGCATCGCCTTCTCCACCCAATCCCAACTGCCACAGTCCCTCTGCATTGCCCAGGAAGAAGAAGAAGAAGAAGAAGAAAAAAAAACCACCACCAGACGAAACAGAAGAAGAAGAAGAAAAAATCAGAAAATCAAAAAGGGTAAACAAAAAAAAATTAAAAACAAAACCGACATTCCCTCTTCCCACGCGAAATCCAGCAGCGAACACAGGGAATGCGGGTTGGTCCAAACGAAACGAACCTTCAAGCCCAGTTTCCGGCCCCGGTGCCGACCATTCCGGCGACGGATCCGCCTGCGTCCCTTCCTGGCCCCGTCCGTACCGCTCCATGCTCGACGGACCCGGAATTCGCGGAGCCCCGCGGAGCATTGAGAGACTGTACGGCCGTCGAACCCGCGACCCCGGTCAAATGGCCCTCTCCTCTTCTTCTTCTTCTCCTTCCTCCCTTCTCCCCCCCCCCCCCCCCCCTTCCACTTCTAGACAGAGAAAGTAGTGAGAGAAAGCTTCGACGCAGTAAAAACTAGGAAAAACAACTCCTTCTCCCTCCCTCTCTCTCTCTCTCTCTCTCTCTCTCTACATACAGTACACACTGATTTATTTTCTCTTCTTCACACTACGAACGCAAACGCGAGAGGTGCACTGTTTGTTGGGATTTTGGTGTTTTGCCCTTTTTCCCCTCTCTCTCACTACTTTCTCTCTCTGTCTCTCTCTCCTTACTCTCTCTTCTCTTCTAAGTTCTACCTCTCTGTGTCAGTTTTGAAAGCCAAAGCGATGGTTTTGATTTTTCGTTTCCCATTTTCCTCTCTTTTCTTTTTCCAATTTTTTTGTTTGGCCAAGTGAGCAGAGCGTGAGAGAGAGAGAGAGAGTGCGCGCGTTTGGGTTGGTTGGTTTGGATACGCGCCAAATGGACAGGAAGGTGGAAAATGGTCGACAGGGATTCATTTTTCAATTAGCTTAATTTCCAATTAGTTCAGCTATCACCCTTTTTATGGTTAATTAATTTGAATATATATTAATTAACACAGCAGTTTGTTTGTTGTTGTTAGTCATAAATGAACCAAAACCAATTGCAGACAGTCCGGCGGTTAAATACCCTATTTCGCACCAATGATCGAGATGGTTTTTTTTTTTTTTTTTTTTGTATGGGGAAGTTTGGTGTTAGTGGTGTTAATGGTGGTTTGGGCAAGCGTGTATAAGGCAGAATTTTATGTGAAATGGTAAGAATTTGTGTAATGTTGAACATAATGTTTGGTTTGCAAAAATTGTGACGAATTCTTTCGTTTCGAAGAAAATTTTCTTAATGTATAACTTCGATTTGTAATTTTAACATTATGGTAAATTAGGCGTTCATATATCATATGAACAATGAACATGATGAAATATATATTCTGAAATTTGTGGCCAGTATACGTGTTTGTCAAGTGAGTCGTAAACGGTACGTGTATTTGACGGATTGAGCTTTGCAATAACATAGTACTAATATAAACTATTTGTTTACCTACTATGTGACTTGAGGTGCTTTTAGAATTGTACATGTGATTTTCTATATATTAAAATAATATGGTCTCCGTATACTGAACGGAAATAATTGAAAATGCATTGCAAATAACTGATATCGCCTATCTTTTCACCTTTTTCAAACGATTTATTATATAATCTTGTTCGATTTGTGTAACTATGTATTACATAATAATACGATAAAGTACGACATACAATTGTCAATCGAGACGAGTTAACGTCACTAACCTTGCTAATATGGCAAACCAAACACTCCACACATTTACGGACCCTCATGTGGTGATTTCGATGTATATTATTTAATTAATTGTATGTTCCACTATTAGGTTTTAGTGTGTTGGGTAGCACACAAGTAAAATTGAATATGGTTGAGACTTTGGGTGTCAATTAACAATAACATGGTCTGTTGTGTGTCACATATAATACAACTACACGATGAATAAGTTTGAGACCATATCACATATTCATTATTCCTTTATAGAATATTACCAAAGTCGTGAAATGAGCAAACCATCATATTTAGTGTAGTCTAGAGTGTGAATCATAAATTCGATTCATTCAAGGCATGTACATTATGCTGATATGAATAATCTAACTGATATTTCCTTCATGAACTTTTTATAAACCGATGACTGAGGTTAATGACTTTTTTTGTAAAAAATGGCGTGCTAAAAGGGCACCCCAGCCTGGCACGTTAAATTAAATGAGATTGGGCAATGGCCATAGTATCGTAGAGGAGCAAAAACGCAAGCCTCGAATCCTGGGTATCAAAACTATGAATGTTTATATCAATATTATGGCCACAATTGGCTAAGAAATCTACCGCCTTGTTGCATTCCCTATAGATATGAGAGATTTTCACCTCCCAATTATGGTTGATGAGAGACTTGAACTGTTGTATCGCTGATCTTCATGACAGGGGGTTGTCAGTATCTGCAGGGCTACCATAAATTCTAAACCAAGTATCACCTTCATGTGGCCCATTGCTAAGCGATTTTCAGGCCTTCTAGCACACCTCTGATTTCAGCTCGCGTTATGGTGCACATACCAAAGTCTCCCCGTGAAAGTAGCTGAGCATCCGCCCAAATTATCGCGAATAAGTCCTCCCGCAACTGCATCAGAACCCGGATGCCGAACAAAGCCATCAGTCTGTATGCTGACCCACCCTTCTAGAGGTGGCTGCCAAGCAAGAGAGCATTCCTACTTCTTGGAAGTCCCTTCTTTGGTCATCTGGTCACAAGCTTGGACTTGCTTGACGGTGTTCGTCCAACTCCGGATTCGCTGAGTTAACGTCGCTGCATCAAACGATTTGTGTTGGAAGATGGACTCGTTCCTTTGCTTCCACTAGGGGTGTTCAAATGGTTACCATGGTAATAACCAAACCAAATAAGTCTAAAATCTATTAATTATGGAATACAATATCATAACCAAACCGTCCAAACTAATACAACAACCAAATTAACCAAACTAAAATTTATTCGGTTTGGTTAATTGGTTAACCAAAATAACCAATATAACACCACATTATCATTAAGGGGGAAAATTTTTAAGTTAGTGCATCAATTTGTAATTTATATAATGAACAACACATAATAATCCACATAATTGTAGTTAACCCTTAACGTAAATACATGTAACAAATACAATTATCTTACATTTGACTCTTGAGTGGTTATGCAAAGTATTAAGTATGTGTATATAATATATATTAGATATATGACAAATTACTTAACTGGTTAATTTGGTTTGATTGGTTAGGAGTGCCTGAAACCAAACCACTTAAACCAAACAAGCTAAAAATTTTAACCAAACCAAACCAATTATCAAAATTAATCAAACCAAATTAGCCAAATACTACTGGATAAAATGGTTACCACGTTAACCACACCGTTTGAACACCCCTAGCTTCCACAGGTACCATGCAGTCACTCCAAAGAGAAGTCCTGACTCCGCTACTCGCATTTTCATCTCCATCCATTCTGCAAATGGAACGGCCAGGGTAAGATTATTATCTTTGAAACCCAAACCTTGTCATACCTGTTGTGCTCGGGGGCAATGCCGGATCACATGTTCTTATGTTTCCGGGCCGGATTTGCAAAGCTGGCAAGTATCCTCGGTTGTCAGTTTCCTTCTTTTTTGTTCAACATTCGTTAGGAGTCTGTCGTGGATAGCCAACCACAGAAAATGTTGGATTCTGTTTGGTCCATTCCATTTCCAGACTCCCTTCCAATTTGGCTCGACCACACCATTCGCCACCGCTTTGTCTTCCTGATCTAACTAGTCTAGTGTCGGCTTATTAGCTGATTTAAGCCTAAATCGCCCATCGTCCAAACCCCAAACTGTTCGATCCACTCCTAGATCCGGATTCGGCAGTTCCACACCTGCAATAAGAGAAATCAAGTGGTGAGGGAGGTGCGGGTAAATCTCATCCCAGTTCCACTCACCTTGCTCGGTTGTCAGGTCCACCATCAACTCCCTCGGGGACTACCAGGACAATATACGACAGGAGTGACCCGAAGACGCCAATAATGGGCTCTAAGGGGATTATTCCACTCCTAGGTCAAAAGCTCAAGCTATGAAAATGGAAACCAATTTCATCTCATCCATTAAAACATCCATCAATTAGATAAATCATCAATCAAACTAGTAAGTTGTCACATACATCAACAACAAACCAAAATTTAGACCTAGGGTTCTTAATCCCAAAGAAAGCTAGGGTGAGTTTCTAGAGAGAGAGGAGAGATTACAAAGAAACCTCTAGATCTTCTTCTTCTAGGCTTGATTCCTCGCTTCCAAGCTTTATCAATGCCTTCAATTAAGCTCCAAGATCACTCTCTCACTCTCTAGAACTCCCCTTTGGTGTTTTGGGTTGAAACCCTAGAGAAAGGAAGTGTTCCTTCTCCAAAAATCAGCTCCCATTTCTTTCTCCCTACTGTTGTCTTCATATTTGCCTGAAAGCGACCAGTTCACTGTCGTGAACACTTGAGCGTGTCCGTGAACTCAGTATCATCACCAAAATGCACCGCTTCACTTCTGGGTTCACGGGCAACAGCTCCAGTTCACGGTCTTAGTGACCGTGACTACCTTGTCGTTAGTAACTTCTGGAACCTCGTTGGACGCCTCGATGTTCACGGTTTGTGCTTCCAATTCACGGCCTTAGGAGACCGTGAACTGCCTTGTCTGACCATGAAATGCGGCTGCTTCCTGGACGCCTACGCTTCACTGTTACAGGCTTTTCTTTGGTTTTTGCGCTTTTTGACCTCCAATTATCCCAAAATCCGACCTCGACCCTTCCACACGTGCTAGGACCTGAAATGTATCAAAACAAGCACAACTTAGCGGGAAATATGTCGAGGGATGATGAAATATGACACGCTAAAACACAACACCAAACTGCGACCAAGTGTAATCGCAGTCCGGAAATGCAGTAACAGGCAAGCTCTAATTGTCAACCCGGGGCCTAGATCTACTGCCTACTCCATGTATATTTGTTATCTAGCAAACTAAGTCGATTGATTGTGGTCTTAACTAAAAGCAGTAAGAAAGCAGGAAATGATTCGGTTTTCTAAAGCAAAGGGAGAGTCACTTGGGAATGAGTCCCCCTAGCTCCTTAGTTAGGTCTCAATTGTAATTACCATGGGTTGATTTATTGTTGATTAAACTGCAGAAGATCCGAGAGCAGCTTGGAATCTCTTAAGCTGACCAAGCCCTCTCAGTCCAACCACCCGGAAGACGACTAGTCTTCACCGGGATAGAAAGCTGAGGCAATAAGCACAGAACTCCACTACTTGAATTGGGTTCCAGTACAAAGCAGTAGATTGATTAACTCTCGTATAACCAATCTACCACTATCGAATGATGAAGCTCTAACAACCTAATCAGATTCTATCTATCTCAGGTTGCAGCAGAAATCAAGAAAAGATTATCAGACTTCAATTGATTCAATGAATCATGCATCATTCGATTAAAACCAAACAGTAACAATCCCAAGTCATTACAATCAAGATCCCTAACACATGGAACTAGGGTTCTTCATACCCAAATGAGAGAAGGTTCTACTCCATAGAGAGAGAGAGGGAAACAAAATACAAAGCAGTCATACTCATCAAGATGGGAAGAATCTGCTCTGGGATAATGATCTCCACTCCAAGGATGATTTCCAAGCTTGATCGATGAAACTCAGCTCCAAAACCACTCTTAAGGGGTGTTCTTCGCACTTTCTCTCTCTAGGGCTATCTTTTTGCTCCAAAAATTCTATCTCCTCTCCTTTGGCTCGAAATTGGGTTAAAACCTAGAAATTCCAGACCACACGGGCAGGCCACACGGCCGTGTGGCTTTCCCAGCTGCCCGTGTGAGTGTGCAAAACGCGGCGTTTCGATAAGTGGACTTCAGCCATGCTACACGGCCACAACCACACGGCCGTATGGATTTCTAGGCTGCCTGTGTGAGTTCCCTGGAATTTTCACACGGCCACATGGGTTCCCTTACACGGCCAGTGTGGCTTGCCCGTGCAATTTGGTGTCACACGGCCAGGTCACACGGCCGTGTGGGTTTTAGGTGTGCCCGTGTGGCTTCCTCAGCTTCTCGCCAACCGCCCAATCTTCGTCCAATCGACCCCGAACTCGTTCCCAAACCTTCATTCA